CCGATTTTCGACCCACTTTTCTACAGATTGTCGCTACGTTTCTCCACTTTCTGTTATCTCTCCTATTATTGTCTTCTCTTTTCTTTCTTACCGCTATTTTTTATTTTTCTTCTTCGTGCTACCGCTATTTTAATTTTTATTCTTCATGACAGGGGTTCACTTTGGCCTCGGAGTCAAGTTCAGCATTCGCTTCAATGATATCTGGAGCCATCTAGCGTTGTGAATGGGTATAATGTCTCGACCCCGAATATAAGACGACCCCCACTTTTTCAGTCTTATTTCAATGCAAAAAAACACCGTCTTATATTCGGGCCAATACGGTACAATAAAATGGTAGTTAGCTCTTCCCCTTTTCCATCACGAAGACGGCAATGCTTTAGGAGCTCCACCTCCTCTCTGCCGCCCCGCATTGTCGCTTAGTGCGGATATCCTACGCACCATTGGTCAAGCTGCCGAACAAATGGAAATCCACCAGCACGCTGAAATTACTGATGGTTATCTGCGCTACGTGTCATTGACCCCCCTCCCCGCACACACGTGCACATTCATCCGGCCCGTCTTTCCAGGCTCGATCCAAACGGTCTTTTTTTCTTGTGTCTCTGCCTCATTTTGCCGTTTTTCCACCCGGCACTATTTTGAGTGCAGTGGATACTCAGGTTGTTGTTTGATTTTTTTTTTTTTTTTTTACTCCCTCAACACCCATCTCTCTTCCCTGAGTAGATGCCATCCAAATGCCCAATTATGTTGCATCAAAGCTGTCTGTAGAATTGTATAATTCTGCCCACAAAGGATCCAACCTAATCATGTCATGTGGGTGCTTTTGGTGAAGCCGTCCGTCCTCCTTGAAAGTCTCGGTGATCATTTTCCTTCTGCAGCAGTGACCAAACATCACAGGAAACTGAAGGCAAAATGGTTCAGTTTCTTCAACCTAACATGGCTTCCCATTTTGCTTTCACCCTACCCACTATTTTTTTAAGGCAGCGGCCTTACCAAAATGTTGTTGGTTACTTTGTACTCTATATGTTAATCAAACAACGTGAAAAAAGACATTTGCATTTGAAGGTTAATGTCGTTTTTTCCCCTGACTTCTAACAGTTCCACTCCATCCCTGATTTTGTCAATCCTAAGCGTGTGACTGCTGGTACTAGCACAGGAGACACATTAGAGGCTTAATGTGGCACCTGCAGTCATCCTTCACATCTCTGCCTTCCAGCCTTCTTTTCTTTTTTGCCATCTGTGCGTCACAGGCCATCATGTACTACATAATGCACTCAGTGGGCCATGTAATAAGTTTTCTGGTGTGTGTGTGTGTGTGTGTGTGTGTGTGTGTGTGTGTGTGTGTGTGTGTGTGTGTGTGTGTGTGTGTGTGTGTGTGTGTGTGTGTGTCCTCATCTGTGTGCATGCAGAGTGTTGCCTTCATTCCTGCATTGATCTGCATCAACATCATTTCATGCAAATCGTGTTTTTTTTTTTTTTTTTTGACTAAAACGATAGCTTTCCATCAAAGTGACGCGCTCTCCCGCCCATTGTCATGGGATTGGTCCGGCTCGGCTGTCCGTGTCCTCAGGATTTCTCTTGATTCTTGATAGCCTTTGTTTGTTTTCCTCGAGGCCTTTCCATTGGCTAAAATGAAACGGCTTTGCTCACACACACACTTCATTTCATTATACTGATTGGTCATACAGTGTCCACAGTGTACTCCACCTTACACACAGTATTATATTGGGCTGTGTAACCGAATGGAATGAAAATTCAATTCCTTCCTAGTTTTCCCTCAAACATTTCAGCTGCAATATATTTGCCTGCTTGCAAATTCAGCTTGTCACTCTTTCAAAAATGCAAAAGTTAGAGAACTAATAAGTAATAACTAGCATCATTTCTTAACTAGTGTCCCCTACCATCATACTGTGGATGCTGTCTCTCCCTTTAATGCAGCCAGTGCTGTCCACTTAAAAATATGCCTCGATACACACACACATAGAGTTCCCTTTTCCCTTTGGCGAACCCCCCCTCGCCCCCAAAATAAAAAAAAAAAAAACAAACAGGTGGCAACGGTAAATAGCTCAGTTAATCGACGTTATTGTTCAGCTACAGACAAAGACAAGTTAACTGCTCAGTGCAATTTAACCTTTTTGCCTTTTGTAGCAGTAGAATCGCCTGAGGCACATAAACAGCCTCTCGGATTAATTATAGTGTTGGATCAGGAATAAGTTCCCATTGCAGGACTAAAGAGGATTTGAGGTTCTGCAATTTCCTTGCTGTCTTTCACCTCTGTGAAAAATAACGTGAATACATTGTTACGACATCCAAATTCAGCTTTGCTCCCGTTGCCTTTTTAAAAACGTACGCTAGCGTGTATGCATGCTACTGTATTTTTTTTTAAGCTAGGGTATGGTTTACCATGCCATATAATACAATGCGATTTGTGTATGTGTTAAATACAGAAAGAGCACCCGTAACTGGCACTACACCTTTTAATATTGGTCGTGAAAATACGGGAGTCCTCTACAATACAAGATTAGGAGCAATGGCATCCAGTCCAACTACCTTAGCAATATGCTAACATCACAATTTGTATGAAAACTATTTTGTCAACACCACTTCCCATTTGAATTGCACTACCAGTCTCTTTATCATGGTGCTACATGCGGCATCCCTTTGGGATGGGAAGCGAACTGCATCTCATCTCCCACATGCCCCTCCTGTCGTTGCTTCCCCATTGTGAGGGGGAAAAAAATACTTTTATTAGTATGCAAGAGAAACCATGCTAGTCGATCCATGAAGATGTTTACCTGCAGGGGTGCATTGGGAACACTTCCCTGCTTCAAATGGCAGACCTGCTGTGCAAATGAAAATGAAAATTTGAAGAATATTTCCCGCAAAATCAGGACCCAATACATCGGGTAGGATGTATTGCTTTTATTTACCACTGCTGCCTTTTTCGTCAGTCAAAGCACTTTTTTGATTGGCTACATTCTGATCACATCTCAGTTTGTGGATTAATCGAGAATATTTGAATTTCCGCACACATAAAGTTCTTACGCTTCAGGTGCATGAAGACAATCAGGCTGTTTTTGTCCCAATTTTTTTTTTCTGACCTGATCTTCTGTATGTCAAATGCCCATCTTATGTCTTACAAAATTGTACTATATGATTATCGTTGCTTATAGCATTTGTAATGACAGTATTTGTCCTGATAAATGAGTCCAATATGGATTGGGAGCACTAATCATAAATATTAAACATGTTCGGTTGTTTTGTTTTTTTGTATGCAACTAGTTATAGTGGTTCAATAGTAGCAGTCAAATCATTAGATCAGGGATTGTAATTGACTTTTACTACATGAACATATTTTGTGGTTATAAGTGTTGTGATTGTCACTTAATAGATATTTTTTTTGCTCTCTTTATAGCAACAGAACTAAGAGAAAAGATAAATAAATGACTACATAATGAATGTTTGAGCCCACTGAGTCTCTGCGCCACTTTCTCTCCCCCCTTTCAAGGAAATGATTTGCTTTTGTCAGTGCTGCAGGTCACAACATCAAAACGTTCTGAAAGCAGACGGCCGCTATATAGTTTCTATCGTGCTGAAGCAATTTCGTATCCAGCTAATTTGAATTTGACAAATCCTTTTTCATCTCCCCGTATTAGCATTATTACATTAATTCCTTCAACTTTTCAATTATAGGTTTACAGCTCCAGCACAGGTGAGGGATAAGGTGGCTGTGAAATGTGTGAGAAGTATAGCTTAAATATAAAGATAGGTACATACAGTATAACATCCACAAGTATAGAAGAGAAAGATGGGTGTCATGGTGTTGGAGTGGTTAGCACATCTGCCTCGCAATTCTGAGGTTGGAGGTATGCGTTGAGTTTGCATTTTCTCCCTGTGCTTGTGTTTTTTCATATACTTTGGTTTATTCCCACATTCCAAAAACATTTTGCAGGTGTATTGAAGACTCTAAATTGTCCGTAGCTGTAATTGTGAGTGTGGTTTATTGAAGACTCTAAATTGTCCATAGCTGTAATTGTGAGTGTGGTTTTATTTTATATTGTGTGTGTGTGTGTGTGTGTGTGCGTGTGCGTGTGCGTGTGCGTGTGCGTGTGTGTGTGCGTGTGCGTGTGCGTGTGTGTGTGTGTGTGTGTGTGGTGTTTAGTAGTTTTGTGCCGTCCTTGAATAGTTAATTTTATGCACAAGATCCCTTTGAATAGGTTACAAAAAAATGACAATGTGTTTCTTTTTTTGATTGTTCAAATCCTTAGTTGTTGAAAGATGGATCTTTAATGCACTGAGCATGAAATATACAGTACAGTATTACAACACATCTGGTGAGGAAGGTCCTGTGTGGCCCTCTGGTTGCGCTGATGAGAAATTGTGGTCCCCTCCATCATTGAAGTTGCCCATTCCAGATTTAGGTCAACACATTATGGCTTTGCCCTAGTAGTTTCTGCAATTTGAGTAATATATTTATTGTGTCATGTTAGCATAGCAATTGCTATCATGTTGGCGTTTTACTATTCTCTACCTAACAACAGGGCAATGGGCTCTGATGTTTTCCCTGCTCATGTTGCTATCTTGCTATGTGTTAGCATAACAGCTATTAGCATTTTAGAATTTGAGCTATTCTCAAATCTTAAATCACCCGATCAAAAGGTACAATGTGAAATCTTTATCGCTCTGCCTGAGCATACTACTGTACTCACGTTCGCTATCTTGCTAAATGTTAACATAACAAGTGTTCGCATTTTAGCATTTTATAAGTTCTCACTAGAAAAACTTAATTTGCCTGTCCGCATTTTAGCAACAGTTATTTAAAACTGGACAATTTTTAACTTCTTGAGGCCCAACTTTAAAATGTCCAGTGTGATTTTTCTGTTTGTTTGTCATTATTATTGTTTCTGTGAAGTAACGCAGATCTCGTGACTGAAACTAAGTTATTTCTCACCTGTGCTTTTTGGGTTGTTTTTGTTTGTTTGTTTTTTTTTTCCTCACCGCAGCAAGGGAAGAGAATGTGGCCACGTTCCGTGGTTCTGAATACTTCTGCTACGACCTCTCTCAGAACCCAATCCAGAGCAGCAGTGATGAGATCACACTCTCCTTCAAGACATGGCAGCGCAATGGCCTTATACTTCACACTGGCAAATCAGCCGACTATGTCAACTTGGCGCTGAAGGATGGTGCCGTCTCCCTTGTGATCAACCTGGGCTCTGGAGCTTTTGAAGCAATTGTTGAGCCAGTCACCGGGAAGTTCAATGACAATTCATGGCATGATGTCAAAGTGACTCGGAACCTCCGGCAGGTAAGACCATTACGTGAAGTGTACCATGTGACAAGGTGACCGTTAAATTGGAGTGAATTGTAGAAATGTATTGAATTGTAGAATGGCCATCGAAAGATTGTGGAGGGCTCCAGTTTTGCTTGGACAGTACCATAGAAGATGATCTCATCCTTTCTTTCATTCAAGACAATAGTTCAGACACCAGCAAAGCCGTTTCAACACAGGATGAATTTGAAAAAATCTGGGATACACATGCAAACAGAAAGGGAAGCCAACTGGGTCGGCTTTCAAGGAAAGAGATTCAGAGGTGCAAATGATTCAGTTCAAAAACACTCGATGAATGGAATTTTGGCTTGACGTAAGACAAATATAAATATAAAATACAGTGGTACCTCTACTTACGAACGTCTCTTCATATGAAATTTTCAAGTTATGAAATGCTTCAACAGGAAAATATTGCCTCTTGTTACGAAAGAAATTTCAAGACACAAAAGGTATCAACACAGTATGGGCCGCTACTCGCAGCTCTGAGTTTCCTAAATGCAACATACTTAGGGGTGCTCTGCCATTGTCTATTATCCGAGCATCATCCTGGCATCCCATTGGCTAAGAGGGACCTTACCGTATGTGTTTATCTGTGTAGATAGATAAATAGATATGTGTCTATGTAGCGTCCTTGTCATTCGCCCCTCGGGCCATGAGGCGTTCCAATAGTTTTGCGTAAATGTGAATCACCCAGAAAAAGTGTTCACCGGTCAGACAATCGCTCACTATGCTGATGTTTGCCATGGACATTTTCGAAGGATTGTTAAAAGCCGACAAAAGCAAACATCCTTGAATCAGTTCTTGATAAAACGCCAGGCAAAAAAACACTACTGAGAGAGAACATGAACTAAAGAGGGCAAAAAAACGATGAGGACGCAGTTAAAAGTTAAATGACCATCATTTTTCTTCTTTATTCTTTGTTTTTTACATTGTGCACTACACTCATTTATTGTACAATAATCTAATTGTAACATGTATTTGTTACATATTTTGATGCATTTGTATGCTTTAGGAAACATTTATGTTCGAATATTGGGGTGCTTGGAACGAATTAGGACATTTACTGTACATGTCTCGACTTTTTTTTTTTTTTTTTCTCGTTAAGAAGTTTCTTCCAGAACCAATTAATGTCGTAAGTAGAAGTACCACTGTTCCTCTATGCCGGTGTTATAAATCAAATTTAATCGCGTGGAATCACTCTATTGTTGCGTACATGGTTTCCAAATAAGGAAACTCCAGACATCATCGATGGAGCATACAATTGGTACAAACCCCTGACTTCAGTCAGAGAGGTTTGTTGCCACGCTTAACACTTGACAGTGGTTCGGAAGCAGTCCAACATCTCTCCAACAATGATTTGCACTTTATTTTCAGCCACAGCAGGGCTTGGACTCCATGCTGCAATCCAAAGCCAAGCCATCCTTACTGAATGAACTACTGCCATTAAACAGTATAGAACAGCGGTCACCAATGGGGTTGCCCCTCAGGACCGCATACAGTACCCTGCGGGCCTGTTCTAAAAATACCTTACCAGTAATGAGACATTGTGTTTTTCCAGGAATTTTCCAGAAGTTATTTGAACTGTGCATGTGATATTTCTTTCCTAATAATAGTGAGAAGTCATGACCCATATCATAAATAACCATAGTGTATGTTATAAATTAATTCATAACAACATACTATTTGAAGGTCATTATAGCAAATGTGTAATTTCAGAGGTGTGTATCAAACTAGATGTCCTTTGCATAAATCAGAACCTCAGAATTAGCGCTCAGAACATTTCAACTCAACTTCTATTTCTAGTACACTTAAAAAGAAAAAGGTCAGTCAGGTTGGGGTCACATTCTCCAGGGGGGAGGGAAAGATGAAGGGCCATATAGTCCCTTCACATTCCAAGAGTTCCAAAGTTTTATTCCTTCTCATTTCACGGTTTGCATATTGTGGAAAGTTGTTCATACATGAGAGCCAATAACCGGATTGAAGCTTGCGCTGACCAGTATATCGGCGCAGGATGCTGTAATGATTATCTCATGATCACGGCGTGCATGATGTCACTCGCATTGCCGGCAGCTGATGGTTACACACGTCAACAGATACCGTAACTGCCACTTTTTTTTCAAAGAACTGTTAGTTTGTCATTTGGCAAGTAACCTCACATAGCTCAGAATGAAATGGAAGAAAACGGTTCAAATGACCTGTCTCATTCATCCTCTGGCACGTTATTGTATTTCCCTCTCCATATCTCATTGCATCCCTCGATGTATTGGGATCAAACAACATTACATGAAACAATCAATATAAAAATTTGAAGTTTTTTTTTTCTGAGTGGAAAGCGACGGGTTTAGCATTAGCACACAACATAGACGGGTTTACTTAAGCATTCACCTTCATTGCCAACATTGTGCGGGATGTTTATTTGTTTTGGTTTTCACTAACATTTGTAATATGCAACTTATATCAATTTGTTTTCATTTGATTTGTTTGATCGCATTGACAAAGTGTCGCTTCTTTAAGTTCATCTGTAACCTGATTCACCTTTTTTGCAAAGCAACCAGGCACCGGATACGCCATGGTAAACACTCTCCATTGTCTGGTAGATATCAATCATTCATTACTGCAATAGTGTGGCGTTTGCTGTGGAATTGTTGTTCTGCTTTTGGATCGGAAGAAACCACTCTCAGAACAAGAAAATGTTTGTTTCTCACTGTTTGTGGTTGGAATAACTTCTTCCATTTCCTCTTTTACCTTGGTCAAACCTCCATTGATTTTAAGTAGAATGTTTACATGGACAGGGCCAACCCAAGTATTGATCCGATTCTAAGTATTCCGTTTTTTTAATTGCTTGTTTTTACGATACACAACTCATGTTTTTTTCCATTTCTATGGTACAATCATGCCTACAGCAACGCAACCATAAACCACAAATTCTAAATCTACGTTTAGAATAAAAATAATAAAGTGAAATAATGATGCGTCTTACCCAAATGTTGCCTTCTTTGTGCTAATATTGGAATATCCATGTCCATGTAAACCCAACGACTTCAGCCAATCGCAGTTTTTCCTTTGATTCCATCTGTTGCTTCGGTTTTGGTGACATTGCTGTTGAAACAGCCATTTGATAGGAAACAAAACACTATAAGGCTTTGCACCCCGTTTTTATTATTCCTATCCCGACAATGATCTTGATTGCATTATTTGGTGAGGTGACCCACCCTGCAGTGACATATTTCGGAGTAGAAGTTGATGCCATGTTTTTCACAGCGTATGTCCACAGAAAAATGCACCAAGCAAACAATGTTAACTGAAAACCTCATAAAAATAGAGCTTCTTTAAAAAAATAATCAGACGCGATAGATTTTTTTTTTGCTCAAACGTTAAAAATCGGCGCATTTCGATTTTCAGTCTCATTTTGCCTGTTTGGGAATTTGATTCTTCTCACTGCCCCATCCTGAGTATTCGAGCATACATTTGACGTTTCCTGTGGCACGCCCTTGGCGCACTTGGCATTTTGTTACCTGAAAGTGATCTGAACTTTACATCTAAGTTTTTGCGCAGGCATTCAAATACGATTTTGGTCAATTCAAACGGATTCTGCGCTTGCTGGACATGTGGTGGTTATGGATGTCATCACATTTCATTCATTTATATGACAATGGCGTGCATTAAACCCTCTGAATTAATGTAGAGCTCAGCTATGAGTGGGAGGTTGACGAGGGGTTCACGAAAGATCAGGGTCGAAGGTGATCGCCAACTTTTGTCTCATCAGTTGAAAATGTCATATTTTCATCACGGCAGCCTGGCGCTAAACTGGTTAGCCCATCGGCCTCACAGTGCAGAGGTGCAGGGTTCGATTGCGGCTATGGCCTGCCTGTGTGGAGTTTGCATGTTCTCCCCGTGCCTGTGTGGGTTTTCTCTTGGTACTCTGGTTTCCTCCCACATTCCAAAAACATGTGTTGCAGGTTAATGGAACACTGAAAATGGCCCGAGGTGTAAGTGTGAGCACATGTTAATCTAAGTGTGCCCTGTGATTGGCTGGCAACCAGTTCAGGGTGTCCCCCGCCTACTGCCTGATGACAGCTGGGATGGGCTCTTGCACACACTCCGACCTTTGTGAGGACAAGCGGATCAGAAAATGGATGGATGGATATTTTCATCACATTTTATAATGCTGTCCTTTAGTGTGGATTTGCCATTTAAAATCTTCATTCAGTTTTGGTGGGTGTGACACTGACTCTTTACCTTAAGTGGGAGCTGTGTTGTTTGTTTTTGTCCATCCATTCTCTATACCGCAAATGCTGACTAAGGTCGCAGGGTGCTGGAGCCTATCCCAGTTGTCTTTGCAGGGTGCACCCTGAAGTTGAAGTGCAAAGGGAGTAGGCTGCTGCAGCTCCTGTGCCAATAAAATATCACTGCAGACAAAGAAAAATAGCTCTACGAGTGGGTGAATTTGTAATGGTAAAACCACACCCAAAGGGCAAAGTCATTTTTATCTAAGTGTGTCATCATATGTCAGCCACTGGACTTCGATCACTATTGTGAGTTTGGTGAATAATACTCACGGTGGTAATCGGTGGTGACAGAAGCTCACATCATATCGCATTTTGATGCAAGTAAGCCTACGCTCTTTAGGCCCACTCTTTTTTATCCTGATGCCAAAGGCTGAGTCAATCTGTTAACCAGTACCATGTTCAATGCAGAGATCAAAACAGTGATGCCGTTGAAGCAATGAGAGATGCCCCAAGATGAGAATATGCTAAAATAAATAAATAAATAAATAAATCCTGAGATGTTGCTTTTTAAAATGGTTGCAGTAAATACAGTTATAGGTTACCTTTATATTTTACTGACCTGTGACTACTCATGGTGAATAATCAATTGTCCACATTATTAATTCCAAATAAACAATACAGTACTGCGACCTTCCTCCCTAGCTATGAAAACAATACTTTATCATTTCACTCTTCGTTGTCAGGTGACAATATCAGTGGATGGAATTTTAACCACCACTGGCTACACCCAGGAGGACTACACCATGCTTGGCTCAGATGACTTTTTCTACGTCGGTGGAAGCCCCAGCACCGCTGACTTACCTGGATCACCTGTCAGCAACAACTTCATGGGCTGTCTCAAGGAGGTAAGGTACCTCATTCACTGTTATATCGATCAACCTTAAAAATGCTTCCACTAAAACAATAGGAGTTACAGCACAGATAACTATCAGGGTTCAACCTTGTAATAAAAGAGCCTTGAATTTTTTTCTCATTTCACATGGGTTTCCTTGCGGGGCAAAATATTATCCAGCACAATACTATTGAGCGCAACTTTTCACTCTCTGAACTCTTTCATGCACCAATAATGATAACCTGACAACATGATAAGCTGTCCACTGGAGTAACCGCTGTTCCTCAAAGGGTTAATCTCTCGCTGGCACCTTGAAGCACCCGCTAAACATATTAGACAAAATATGGTAGTAGTAACTATGATCAAGGCGGTCCAGTGGTTAGCAGGTCGACCTCACAGTGCAGAGGTTGGATTCCAGCTTCTGCCTTCCTGTGTGGAGTTTGCATGTTCCCCCCCGTGCCTGCGTGGGTTTTCTCCAGGTACACCGGTTTCCTCCCACGTTCCAAAAACATGCATGGCAGGCTGATTGAACACTCAAAAAATTGTCCCGAGGTGTGAGAGTGAGCGCGGATGGCTGTTCGTCTCTGTGTGCCCTGCGATTGGCGGGCAACTGGTTCAGGGTGTTGCCCGCCTCCTGCCCAAAGACAGCTGGGATAGGCTCCAGCAACCCCCGCGACCCTTGTGAGGATAAAGCGGTTCAGAAAATGATTGGATGGATGGATGGATAACGATGATCACTATTGATCACTGTGATACTAACCATTCGAAATATCATCACTGTTAATCCCTACACCACAAACCACATTGTACACTGAAACACACTCGAACGATGTCATATCTAATGCTTGTATGAAGTGGGTGACTGCAGCAGAGAGATGACTTTTTGGGTCACAGTTCTAAAACCGCACACATGCATACACATAAAAACAGTCACTGGGTGTGCACTTTGTCATATGGGCTGCAGGGAGTGCGAGGAATTGGTGCACTAGCGATTTAATCCCCCCTTGGCCCATTTCCGACTCTAAGCATGCTGGTCAGGTCCCGTATGGTCAAATCCAGGCAGACATTTCCTTTTGACTTGTTTGTGTACCTACTCACAGAGATATTGTGCTTTGCACAAAACAAAAGATGCATGTTGTACACATGCTCAAAGCACACACACAAAGCCACGTACACACACAGGTAGAGTGGTGCACAATTGACAAATTCTTAAGTCATTTTATATTCCAATTGCAATGTTGATCCTGATTTGGTATTTTCCTGAAGTGAACATGAAACAAATGGGAGTTTTCTAGAGAATATTGTTCAGGAGTAACCCACCTTTTTGGAGCAAATTGTCATTCCCTCCAATCAATTACTCCTCTCCATCGTGACTACATCTTTACGGGCAATTTAAAACTCGACCATATGTCTTTGGAGTGTATTCAATTGAATATAGGTTGAACATGATTTTCAAATCATTGTATTCTGTTTTGATTTATGTTGAACATAATGTCCCAACTTCACTTGAATTGGGTTTGTAATTCTAAAAGGTATGCTAGGCGCAAGCAGAACTCTGCTCAACTCCAAAAGAACACTGTAGTGAAGTGCAGGGAAATGTGGTGGAGGCAAGTACTCATGATGCTTCAGTATAAGTAGCCTGGTTATTAAATGTCCAAGGCAAGATGGAACAGAAAAACTCAGTCAAACATAATTCTTCCCAGAAGGTTTAATGGACACAAAGTGTAAAAGATGTGGAGAAGCTTTAAAGCAATTTTTCAAAAAGTCAAAATTCCTTGCTTTTATCCTCTCCTTTGTGAATATTGTATGATTTCCTTCATGAATGCAGATAAATTGTCTGCCTCTGGAGTCCCGCAGGCCATAAAGGCCTGACAGGACTCCTTCTTCAGCTTGACGGAATCCCTTACTGCTGGTGTTCACCAGTGAGTTCGAAGGTTGCCGCCACGACAGGCACCAACTACATATGCAAAAATCTTCCCAGAAAATTTTAAACTCATTTACAGTGGCACCTCTTCTTATGAATGTCTCCTCATACAAAATGTTCAAGTTACGAAACGTCTCAACAGGAAAATATTGCCTCTTGTTACCAAAAAAATGTCAAGATATGAAAGGTAAAAATACAGACTGGCTTGTTACTCGTAGCTCTGAGTTTCCTGAATGCAACATACTTACAGCTGCTCTACCATTGGCTATTCTCGAGCATCATCCTGGCATCCCATTGGCTAACAGGGACCTCTACCGTATGTCTCTGTGTGTACATAGATGTGTCTATGCAGCGTCCTCGTCATTCTCCCCTTGGGCCATGAGGCATTCCAATAGTTTTACGTAAATGTGTTCATTAGTCTGCCGATCGCTCACTATGCTGTTTGCCTTGGACATTTTCAAAGGATTGTTAAAAGCCGACAAAAGCAAGTGTCATTGGATCAGTTCTTTATAAAACATCAGGCAAAAAACACTTCTGAGAGAGAACATGAACTAAAGAGGGCAAAAAAACGATGAGGATGCAGTTTTCAGTTACGTGACCATCAATTTTATTCTTGACTCTATTCTTTGTTTTTTACATGATGTACCACTCTCATTTATTGTGCAATAATATATTTGTAACATGTATTTGTGAGATATTTTGATGCACTTTTGCTTTAGGAAACATTTATGTCTTTTGGGGGAGCTTGGAACGAATTAAGGCATTTACATGGAAAAAACGTTCCTACTTACAAAATATTCTAGTTAAGAAATTTATTCCAGAACCAATTAGTCTCGTAAGTAGAGGTAACACTGTACCTAATAACTGGGGATACAGTCTATGTGTAACCTTGATGTGCTCTGAGCATGAGACTGGGAATCCAAATAAATACCAGTAGTATAATACAGGTAAGAAAGAACACGAATACATGATGACGTACACTGTATTTTGTGGGTGTTTAGTATGTTATGTCATCTTCTTTGAAGATTTATATGATCTCCTTTGTACCATGAGTGGACTTTCCCTTGCACTGTCTCACATGCGTTCAGCACTCACCAGCAATCCTCTGCCGTCACACCCTCTCATCCTGCACCCCAAGCATTACGGGGATAATTTGCCTGCTTGCAATGCTCTTGCACTCGCCATCTAGAGTGGCATTATAGAAAATTGTTTTGTTACCATGGCACCGAATACTGGTTGCCCTAGGTAGCCCATGTGGCTGGCAGCCCCACGATTATTATGCCTTTCATAAGCCAGCAATTACAGAGAAAGGCTACATCTCAGAGCCTACAAAATGCATAATGGCCTACAATAACACATAATTGCTGTAATTGTCACTACTCCCAGTACCCCCACCCCCCCAACCTGCTCCCATCACTCCCCAAATCCACCGTCTACCGTTCACATGTAGTCCTTTTACTTGGCGAATAGACTAGGAGATAGTGAAACACAAAGGACTGAGCACAGAAGAACAAAACGCAAATTACTACATTCCATATAGCCACAGTGCTTAACTTGTCTCTCATCCCCGTATTGAATGTATCTACTCGGCATTCTTACTGAAGAGATCTGTTCTAATTTATTGCAATATTACAGACAAATTTACAGTGGCTCCATACACAATGCACTGCTTAAGCAAAGTATCACCAATAGGTAGAACAGAACCATGCATACTAAAAGTTAATGGACACTGTGATTACGTCTAATGTCTGCTCCTTGCAGATAAAACCTCAAGAAAAAGCAATGACAGAAACTTGATGTGTTGCGCTCGACTGGGGGCCAGCATGATAAAGCCTGCAAGAAGCAAAAACTGTGTTACCCACAAAGTGTGGCAGGAGACTTACTGTATTTTCTGCACTAAAAAGTGCACTGGATTATTAGGCGCACCTTCAATAAATTGGCTATTTTTAAATTTTTTTCATATATTGCCTTCCCTGGACTATAAGGCGCAATCTACAATGCATCCACTAGTTGGCACTACAGCCCTTCATTTGACTCAAGAGGCGTTCCAGACCGCCTCCAAAAAACATAAATTAACGATTACGTCAATGAAACTACGAAAATTTAAAATACAGTAATGCATCAAAACAGAAAATCACAAAATAAATTCAATGGTTCCCCAACAGAATTTATTTTGGCATTTCCTTGAGCGTAGCTGCAACAGAACGATCAGATGTCAGTAAATTGTAGGAGACTGCACTGTCTCAGAAGTGTTCATTTATTCTTTTGTTGTGGACTGTATTCACAAACAAGGAAATCACAAAATAAATTCTGTAGGGGGTCTATAGAATTTATTTTGTGATTTCCTCGCTTGATTTTCTGTTTTGATGCATTATTTTCCATTTTCGTAGTTTCAATGAAGTAATCGATAATTTACGTTTTTCCGAGGCGGTCATGAACGCCTCTCGAGTCGAAGGAAGAAGAGAATGCACGGAGACCGACAGACGTAACTGTATTTGTTGAGACTGTGAAAAACATTCATAAAGTGTGCATTTAAAAAAAACAACACCACAGCTCTCCTTTTTTCAGAGCTGCAACAAAAACTTGTTAAATAAAACAGTGACACAGTTCACTGAACCAACAGCAAGTTATAACATTGTAAGCATGTCTCCAGGAAGGAGGCATCTTGGGGTCGACATATTACCGTAATGACCATACACAAGGCGCACCGGATTTTAAGGGGCGCCGTAAACTTATAAGAAAATTGAAGACTTTTTGGTGCGCCTTATAGTGCGGATAATACGGTACTTGTTTTCACGTTATCTGAATTCAAAGCCAGTCTTAACTACCACAGTATAACAAGCACACAGTTACAACCCAAATACATGGGTAAAATAACTATCATACATTGAAATGTAAATGCCCACCTTAGGTGTATTACCAGTCCCCCATTATTCTTCTCCATGAGCACTTTTCACATTTAAGGAATTCAAAACAGAAGCTCCAAGGTCAAACATTTGTGCATTCAAATTTTGCAGAAATTATGCCGACTGTATTATACAGCTTCCACCCTGCGAACAAACGCATGAGACAGGATTGAATATAAATAATTTCACCAAGATTTAACAGAAAACCACAACTTAAGGTTAAGATGCAAATTAATACACATATAGTACATACTCAAAGAATGTAGATTTGTGTTGTCATACCAAAGTGAAAGTGAGTCTCCAGTCGTCAGCAGAACGGGTATCCGTCAGTGACGGACAAAAAGGTCAGTCGGAACTTAGTGACAATTTCACAACCAGACGAAAACCTACTTCCCTCAGTGCTTAGTCTGTTTTTTTTTTTTTCCTGATTCCTGTAATTTTTCAATCGTCAGTAAAACAGGCCATCAGTGATGGACTGACGGACCGTCCGTCGGTACTGACAGAATGTACACCCCTGGTTCTACAGACTATAGTTAGCTATTTTGATGACAAATGGTTTTCCTGCACTTGAGTGTTGAAACTGTCAATCTTATTTAGGCCTTGATTTTAAACTACGCCCAGAGTGCTGGAGCTGTTGAAATGGCCCCAAGTAATTATGTTCAATCAGAGTAGCAGAGAGCATAGCTGGGGGTTTGGGGGATGGGGGCGGGGTGATATTGATGTATGAGAGGAGAGAGTTTAGAGTGGAAGGATGAAACAAAAAGAGAAAGAATGACTATAAATAAAGGCAAGAGAGGAGGAAAATACCAGTTCCCAGGCACCTCGAGGGATGAGTTTATTTACTGTCAAATCTCCTGGTGGATTATTGATAATCTCAGCACCTCACACTACCCACTCTGACAGAATGAATGTGTGTGTGTGTGTGTGTGTGTGTGTGTGTGTGTGTGTGCGTCTCTGTGTGTGTGTGTGTGTGTGTATATATATATATATATATATGAAAGAGTGGAATGAAAGATGAAAGAAAGTACATTGTTTTTATGTATGCCTGTGACCAAAATATATCCAGACATAAGGAGTTACTCTGCCCACAGAATTAGAGGTGAAAAAAGGGCTTCAATTTTCCGCTTGAGCAAATTTCAATTTGCACACAAACCCCTCTCCATGACTCCATCCTCCCTTTGATATTGACAGCATTTAGAGCTGCTGTGATAAGAGATTGGTCACTTAATGTTTTCATTCTTTTGTTTTTCCCTCACTGGATGGACAATTGCTCACACATGAAGTAACCCAGTCTCACTTTTGATATTGCTATTCATTTTATCTACAAATTTTGTCGATGTCATTTTAGAACAAAAAGACTAGGTTTTTCTTTGTGATTCATTCAATATTGTAGACTGGGAAAAAAAAATGTATGGGATGTCATATGTTGTGTTGGACCGTACACAAATCTTGGGTCACCATGAGCCTTCTTGTTAGGATGACCTTGATCACAACAGTTATTTTGACATTCATGTCAAGTCAAAAGATTGTTCAAATGGTGACCCAAGACAAAATTCAGCAGACTTTTCCAAAACAGCCACATAGTCAGGTTGCTCTCATTTGAAATAGAACAGTATCTCTACAGGGTTTTTGCAGTTGTATTTTATTGGTACTGAGCTTACAGGCAAGAGTTACCAATGCTGTTGGGGTACATTCACCTGACTTTGGTGCAGGCAGCATGGGTTCACTTGTGGATCCCACTCATCGATGACATTACATAAAAACGGTGACTGTTTGTCTGTCTCTACATGTGCCCTGTGACTGACTGGTGCAGTCCAGATAAAAGTCTTTATTTTACCACCAGTCAGCTGGGATAGGCAAGACCTCCAAATATATATCAAATATAGGTTGCATATTTGTGGAAATCTCAGCTTTATCGAAACTTATTTTCATCAGCAATGACAATAAAGGAACTCCTCAACCAAACTGACATGATGCATTTTTCTTCCTTCTTGTACAGGTGGTTTACAAGAACAATGACATCCGCCTTGAGTTGTCCCGACTTGCTCGGATTGTTGACCCCAAGATGAAGATCCAGGGCGAGGTGTCCTACAAGTGTGAAAATGTGGCAACCCTGGACCCCATTTCTTTTGAGACTCCAGAGGCCTATATCAGCTTACCCAAGTGGAATACCAAGCGGATGGGATCCATCTCTTTTGATTTTCGCACGACGGAGCCCAATGGCCTTATCCTCTTCACCCATGGCAAACCACAAGAGCGCAAAGATGCAGCTCGTAGCCAGAAGAACACTAAGGTCAGGCCGTCTAATATGACTGATGTTTAACATGAATCAATGCATTAATTGAGGTCAAGGTCAAGGCTCTACACCAATGGCTTCTGACAATGGCCTTCAATGCCTTTTTTTATTTATTTATTCATTTTGCAATTGAGCGCAGTTATACTGGAAGAGAAGAGTCTTCCCTAAATTGTTCACACAAAGAAACAGAGCTTGCAAAAGTTGCCTCTGTCATCTTATTTGCTCCTGTTCTTTGACCATTACTGTCTGTCCTCCGATGCAGTGTTGGAGAAACCCACAGGCCGACTCATTTAAAATGATGGCATTGCTATACTAAGAAGACAACAAACAGTTTGATTTTAATGAAGATGTCTATTGGTGTCATTTTAAAACTATTTTTCTAGGTGGATTTCTTTGCTGTTGAGCTGTTGGATGGAAGTCTGTACCTGCTGTTGGACATGGGCTCAGGGACCATAAAGGTGAAGGCCACACAAACAAAGGTCAACGATGGTGCCTGGTATCATGTTGATATCCAGAGAGATGGCCGCTCAGGTCAGTTATGTCAACAATTTTGCAAAATTATTGTTTGTTCACCTGACATTTTAATTGGACATTGGAACCTCTGGGTCAATCCCAATCTTTTCCATTTTACTGGTCGTGCCCCATTTTTTTTCTTTTTGACAAAGGGATACAAAATAATTCGGTTCCATACACAAACAAACTTTTAATTAAAAAAAAGAAAACGGCTCTGGACTTTTTGATCCACTTAGCCTTAAACCGACTAATGGTTTGCTACAAAACCCCAATATATATATATGTGCGTGTGTGTGTGTGTGTGTGTGTGTGTGTGTGTGTGTGTGTGTGTGTGTGTGTGTGTACACATACACACATTTATCTCTTCGTTCAGAATTTTATCAGCAAATCACACAGATATAATCAGCAGTAAAAACAACACATTCAACTTGCAAAACATTCTGATGTTCAAGCATGAATGGCAGCTAAGTCATGCATTATTGCAAGAAAATTTTTGTTTATTTCGGATGACTAATGTGTTCTGAAACAAACTGTCGTAGCATTGTGACTCAAATTTTGATGTCTACTCCATACCCATCACAGGTACCATCTCTGTAAACAGCAGAAGAACCCCATTCACAGCAAGTGGTGAGAGTGAAATACTAGACCTGGAAGGTGACATGTATTTGGGGGGACTTCCCACTGATCGCACCAACCTAATTTTGCCAACTGAGCTTTGGACAGCAATGCTTAACTATGGCTACGTAGGCTGCATCCGTGATCTCTTCATTGATGGGCGAAGCAAAGACATCCGTCAGATTGCTGAGGCACAAAATGGTGCTGGTATTAAACCTTCCTGCAACAAGCAACCTGGCAAGCAGTGTGAGAGTTACCCCTGTAAGAACCGAGGTGCCTGCAAAGAAGGCTGGAATCGATTCATCTGTGACTGCACTGGCACTGGTTATTGGTCCCGCACTTGTGAGAGAGGTAAATATGTGCGATAAGCGCTTTCATCTTTTACAATGCATTGAAAACACAAAACTCTGATGGAAAGTGAGTACAACGCCTTTTAGCATGCTTTCTGTGCAGGGCTTGTTAAAAATATCCACCGTTGTCTGTGGAGATCTTAGCGAATACTCATTCTCAAGGAGGATACAAAGGGCTCCTTTTTTCGTACTCAGGGCAAATCTAGTGTGGTGAGCTCTCCAACTTTGCTTGGAGGTGGACTAGATGTAGTTTTAGTATTTTCACACACACACACGCAGCTTGGGGCAGTTAAGAATGGTTGTTGTGCGCCGTTGTGGGTGTGAACACAACTGACTTGATTCACCATTGGCCAATGGAAGCGCCCTCTTTCATTCTCAGTATTATTATCAGTATGCGAGAGGCACACACCCGTTTATATGGTGGAAGAAGAAACTGATTTCCTGGAGGTCAAAGTGCGCAAAGTACCTTTTTCAGGAACTGCAAGCAGACCTCCACGAGTGGATGATGTAAAGTTGGCCAGGTCGATCACAGATTTGATTTGGCAAGTGGACATTTGAAGACCGTCATCCACCCTGACCGTATGTGTCCATGTGCACACCCCAACCACAAACACCGCCACTGCAATGATTTATCCAGATCGACATTTTTAAGTACACTATAAAAAAATGTATCGAAATCCAGATGATTCGATTATGTGCAGCCACTTGACAAAGTAAAATTGTTTTTTTCAGTGCACATTTTGAATGTACTCTCTCTCTCTGTACCTAGCCGCCACATTGGCACATGTTTTAGCCTGCTCTAGTCTACTTAAAGTCTCTTTATCCATGGCAAGGGAGTAGCGTAACCCACAAACAGTAGCATGATAGGAATAGTAGATTACTATTCAAGAAATAGAGCTAATTCTATAACAGGCTGTAGAGAGACAGTTCAGACCCGGTCTTGTCAATCTTATACAGGCGTGCACAGCTGCCTCTGCCTGAACATTGCACCGCACTGCTGACCAATTTTCTTGCAAGGTGTCCATTTTTTTTTTTTTTTTTTAACTCTGAGTGAGAAAACTAATTAACTTCCTCCCCGAGAGCCACAAATTGTTCCAGATTTTTTTTGCATACAAAATAATAGCTGCTCTATCATATCACATTTTAAATCAGAGTGTTTTTCTCTATCCTTATCTTCTGGCCTGTAATTAAGTTCCCAGAGAATCAAATTTTTACTCCTTCAAAAGACAAAAATACATGGGTCAATCAGATACAGGATGTGCATATCCCTCTAAATTGCATTCCAAGAAATAATTAAATTAAATATTGCAATATGATTATTGTATTTTTTTGTTCCTGCCTTTGAAGATTGACATGCATTTTGATGCATTTGTCAATGATGAAGATATAATCACCCGGAATGTCACTCCACACTACGATGCGGAGGAACATGAAGCCACTGCCAACTGCAACCATAATAACAGCAAAGTATTGAATAATGCATAGCTCATTGACAGTGTCTTGGTGATTTACAGTGGCTATCAAAACTGAGCTTTGTTAGCTTCCAGAATTGTTCATTTACCTCTTGTACCAGAGCTGAGCTTGTGTGGGTGCCCTCATCTCTCAATGAGTGCAAATTTATTTCAAGTTTTACGTGATCATTACATATCAGGAAATGTTGTAGCTGACTATCATAGTCATCCGTAGCATGCAAAGGAAGACAATGGAATTAGTTTGGAGTGTAGCTTCCCTTTGAAGCTACATAGCTTCTGTACTTATTGTACGGAGGGTCACTGGACCGCAACGTAAAATTTAGCAATGTACAAGGTGGTTGAAAAGTAACTAAGCATTGGAAACTACTTATAAAAAATGTATTACGTTAGTCATTGCGAAAACTTTTTTTTTAAACAGATAACACAAATGCAAATTTCTTACATACTTTCATATTCTTCTGTCACTCGACTGCTCAGGAGCAAGCTGAGATAGCAGCTTCCATGCTTTTTTCTAATCTTCTCATTTCTTATCATCTTTACCTTCATTTTCCAATGTAATAGAAACTCGCATCATTTGTTTCATTGAATTTGTCATGGTAATAGGGATTTTAGAACCAATTTTAATGCCTGGTTACTTTTCACACAGTCACATAGAACCGCTTAACTGACGCAATGTTGCTGAGGAAAGTCTCTGACATCAAGAGAGCAACTTGCCATCCATCCATCCATCCATCCATTTTCTAATGGACTTCTTCACAAAGGTCACGGAGTTGCAATTTGGCAAATTACCCAATTTCCACTGAGCTATCTGTCTCTTGGGACAGGTCATGGGACTCCTGCCATAGTTAGTGTTTGGCCACCAGAGTGCACTGTGACTTCACCTTTTTTTCAACACAGTGATACCTACATTAAGATGACAAATCTGGAAAACTTGGATTTGCATGTATTTGTGATTTAACCAGGAAATGAGCGTTTTGAATGCATAGTACGGATTTGACTTGAACCTGTTAAGCACATCTGTCACCTCTCTTTCAGAGGCTTCCATCCTCTCCTATGACGGGAGCATGTATATGAAAGTGGTGATGCCGACTGTCATGCACACCGAGGCGGAGGATGTCTCGCTACGCTTTCGATCCCAGAGGGCTTACGGCCTCCTTATGGCCACCACCTCCCGAGACTCAGCCGACACGCTCAGGCTGGAGTTGGATGGAGGCCGCGTCAAACTCACGGTCAATCTAGGTATCGTAGGCACCTCTCTCCATCTGTGTCCACACCTCCACTCTCTCCATGCGATGGTTTGTCATTGAGTGCTAATATTTCCTCACGGTGTCTCAATTGTTTTTGTACATGTCTTCTCATCACATACCATACTCGAATCCCTTAAATGTTCATATTAGCTTCAGGAAACCAATCAGAGCAGCATTACCTAGTTTGCATGAGTGTCTATGCAGTGTGTACGAAAAGAAAACGATCAGGGTTTTCGTCACTGCAGCTACGGTGGAACCTCAAGTGTCGACCACCACCCGTTCTGATGCACTAGTCGACCGACAATTTCTTATTTCAAACAAAAGGTTTGGTAGTCATGATGCGCGTGCAGCTCACGTCTCGTTCCTGAAAACTGTAAACTATCAGACAAGCAAAATAATAAGGTAGCAAAAGATAAAAGTAAATCTTGGACCTTTAACAAGTACTGACATCTGCTAATGCTGGATTCTTACGACTCAGAATGTCAGTCGGCTTATTTTCAGGCAACTTGTGAAATCGCGTGCTGTTCGCTAAACTAAGGTCTCCTCGGGTGCACGGGAGAGCTGTGTAATATCTTGCCGTTTTACGTGACATCATGAGGCACTTTTTTTTTTCCTCCAGAAAATGATGATCAAATTCTGATTGCATGTTCTCAAGATTTTGAGGTTCTACTGTACACTTTAAGGTGTGTTAGGTTATACCATCACATTTCATTCCAGTTAAATGTTTGCAAAAGACAAGCCACAGTAATACCCATAATCTTCTTAATCTGCTTCGATCTTTTGAGGAAGTCACAGCGCTAAAAGCACGCAAACACATTTTGAGAAGATTGTGACGAGACGCCTACTTTCATGTCAAATTTCCAAATTACCAGGAAAAAAAAAATCTGCTGAGACTTTCTAAGAGTTGACTTCCACAAAGTATGTCCACCGATCAACAAAACTTTGATTTGCTTTCACATTATTCTGTTGTGTATTAAAATCTTCCCTCTCACCTTTCTGGAGTGTCATCTGCTGACGATGGTGTGTGGAAGTTTTGGTTTTCTATGTAGCTCTCAACGCCATTTTCCATTATGCTTTGTCAAAAGATGGTATTCACCCCTTCAAAGGCCTTAAGCCTGCGGCCCGTCAGGCGAACAGCCCGAGAACAGAGCCCAGCAAAACCTACAGCTGGCTATGACCCCAAGCCTTTTCCCAAGGTCAAACCACCAAAATTGTACAATCCACACTATTTAAAAAAAAAAAAATCCTACGTTGTAACATTACAGTATGTAATCATCACAGATGCACGGACACATTCATCCATTTTCAACTCGTTATTTTTTTGACGCCCCAATAAACATTCCCAGTGACAAGCATACACACTCGCACATATGACACACTAACACACATTCTTGGTAGTTATCAATATACTAACATATTTTAGCACAGCAGATCTGATGGCTGGGTCTTGTGCCTCTGCATGGTGCTGGTGCTGACTGGATCGTGGCTGTTTGCTCCCACTTTTCTGTTGCGGTTGACGGCACATGAACCTATCAGCCTCATGGTGACCAACCCTTTTCATGGCTTCAATGAGATGATTGACAAAACTCTCATGTTCAAATTCTTATCATTCGATTGACTTTGAAATTTAGTGATGAAACTGTATCAGTCCAATCCAAGTCCAATTTTGTGGGTTGGAAATCGAATGCAGCTGGTACCAAAAGTGGCCATTTTAGTGTTTAGTGTTGTTCCACATTGAGTAACACCTATACTGTAGTTATCAGTACCTTGTGATAAAACAGTCTTCAAATAAACACACACGGCAATGGTTTGTTTAAAATGTGACTTTGTCTGAGAAAGAAATAACATGTTAGATATAAAGATGCAAGTAATAAAATGGCCGTCTTTCTACATGTGTACGTCCCCGGAAGGGTGGAACTTTTGTTTTTGGATGTCTGCAGCTGTAACCTTGAAGGATGCAATTTCATCTGTCATTTATTCTTCCCCATCTAGACTGTATCAGGATAAACTGTAACTCCAGTAAGTTACCACTCAAGTTTCATTTTGCTTTCTGTGTTGATGATTTGTTGATGCAATATATGCAAACTGCTTTTTCTTTGTCTTTTGAGCCACCTTCCACTTTCTCTTAAAGGAGATATATTTTGCACCCGCCACTCCCACAATTAAAACGATTACTCGGTGTCTCAATATCATGTCTGTGAGTTGCTTTTCTCAAGGATCAAGAATTTAAAACGCCTATTATTTTTGCCTCACTCAATTTTCAGGGGGTGGTCTTGTCCCACTAATATAGATATAAAACTGTCCTCTCTAACCGAAACAATATCACAGTACGTATGGGATGACGACTAGGGGCAGATATATGGGTCGGCTACTTATTGAGCAAAAAGCAAAGGCCTCACAAAGACAACACCGATTGTACTTTCTGTTGAAATAATTTACCTGACTGCTAAATTAAATTTGTCAACGAGATTAATGAAAGATTAATTACATCTCATACACTGGAAAAATCACTCAACCCTTACGGCCCATGATGTAATATTTCAGCAAACGTTCAGAATAGACAGACAAATTCACAGAAAGAGGCAGCCCTCAAAGATTTACCCGGTTGTGTAATTTCACACTTGAGATCCCTCTGAGCAATTTATTTGTTAGCATAATGTGTCCCTTTTAAAGCAGAATGTGGAAGACGAGGTGTTTAAAAAGTATCAGATTTAATGAAAATATTTGCACCATTTTGAATGACCACACCAGCCCGATTTTTTTGCATAGTAAAATGTTTTGACTCAGGCTACCCTCCGTCAGGGAGCAACATTTTTGAAGATTCATAAGAACATCTAGTAAGTGGGAAACGTGTTCTCATGTACAATGGGCTGAACTTTAGCAGCTAACTCAGCTGAGCAATTGTGATAATGTAGACCGTTTCTTCTACTATATGTAATCAAGACAGAAAAATAAGGCCAGGCCAGTCATGATAGGAACGTACCTACCGGTACCCTTTTTCCTCTGTTAAGCAACGGTATGAGAACCCTCACTGGTCAACGAAGGTGCAGAAGTGTCCCTCAAGAAATGTTTTATGTGCAGTATATGTCACTATTTGAACCAAACCTTTGGTTCCCGACTAAGTACAGATAGCTTAAAAGCTAGCTTTACAGTTATCCTTAACACTTGAAGTCGAATGGTGGGAAACCAAAGGATTGGTTTGAGGATCAGGATGTGTTTAACTTTGTGATTGTTCTCAGGCAAAGGACCGGAGACGCTGTATGCTGGGCAAAAGCTCAATGATAATGAATGGCATACAGTACGTGTGGTGCGTCGCGGCAAAACCTACAAGCTAATCGTTGACGATGATGTAGCAGAAGGTACTTAACTGCATAAACCCGGGTTTATGATGTTCTTACCTTGTTACGCCAAATGTTGCCACTCGTAGTACCAATGCAGTTCTGCTTTCAAGCAAAATTGCACTCTTGCAATTCGGAGTGGCAGCTTGCATCACTCTAATACTGTTAATTTAATGTCCTCCTTAAATCAGCCCTTTTGTGTTAGTGTCAGACAGTGTTCTCTTTTCTTTTTGTTTTTGTCTTTCTTTTCAACCCATCCCCTGCACCCTCCCCATCTTCAGGCCAAATGGTGGGTGACCACACACGTCTGGAGTTCCACAACATTGAAACAGGCGTGATGACAGAGCGCAGATATGTTTCAAGCATCCCATCCAGCTTTATTGGTCATCTGCAGAGCCTCAGGTATTAAAAAGTCACTGGAAATAGTTCAGATTTGGATAAAAACAGTGACATCTCGTTGGACTTTCAGAATAGTTGTGAAGCCCAACTATCCACCTGTGACTACAACAGACTTTCCGCTTTAGCTGAAGTCGATTGGTCGAAATTGTCACATTTCAAATTACAGGGAAATAAAATGGAACCACTGATTTACACAGTGTTCTGGGACGCTGGTTGACCTCTCCTTTGTTCAGATTTTGAATTCATAATTCCTGATGAAATGGAAATTTGTATTACTAATTTGTTCCAGGGTCCAACTGTGGCAATCATAAAACCTTTTTTTAAACTATGTCAGCAATGTCAGTGAGACAGTTTGGCGTGTTTGACTGTCACTAGCCATTGTATAACAAAACATAAAAACAATAAGTTACATCCCCCACATTGATGATGCAACAGACAAGTTGCCTAGCGGGATGTGGACAAAGAGGATACTGATGGCACGTAAACTTCGCTCATCAAAATTTTGTAACATGCTCAATAGTCACAAAAATCTAAAAAGAACTCTGTACAGTATTGCCAGATCAGAAAACCTAACTGGCGTAACAGAACTTAAAATGATTGTCTTTTCAGGAATTTGGAAGCCCGCCCCTCGTTCCATGGGACCTTATTTCAAACATAGTTCGGTTGTCAATTGTGTATGAAAAATATTTCCGTATTTTCCGCACCATAAGGCGCTTCGGAGTGTAAGGCGTACCTTCAGTGAATGGCCTATTTTAAAAGTGTTTTCATATGTAGGCCGCACTGCATTATAAGGCGCATAGAATAGAAGCTACAATAATGTCTGCGGTTGCGCGATGCATCCCCTAGATGGAGCTACGCTAAAGGGAATACAATACAATACTGCTTTATTTATAAAGAGCCCTGGCTGCGGTTGCGTTATGCATCCACTAGATTCAGCTATGCCAGGGGCCCCCAACCTTTTTTGCCCCACGGACCGGTTTATGTCAGACAATATTTTCAGGGACCGGCATTTAAGGTGTGGCGGAAATAATACAACAAAATAATATGGTATGAGCTGCATGAAAACTGTGGCGTTTTCGAAATATAATAATAAACACAAGGAGCGTCTAATCTGGCCGCAACACTCCGATCGCTATCAGAAAAGCCCCGCCTCACACAGGTAGCATGTCAGAAATAACAACAGTGCTACTGTGGCAATCTCAGAATATTCAGACATAACTTTAATCCAGTTGTCTCGAACGTACTTTTAAGGCCGCCGTCATTTGTGATCTCCAGCAGTTTTTTTTACTCATTTTGCGAGCTCCTGCGTTTTGTTTTGAAGTAATCGGTCACGTGATGGAGAAGCGTGGCTTGACGTGTGTCAAGCGTGACACAGACCGGATGTAACGGAGAATCCGGTAGTTTTTCAAAATAAAACATTTTCGTATTCCGAAATAAACAAAACAGAATTAAGGCAAGTTCTTTCTGTGCGGCCCGGTACCAAATGCCCAGCGGACCGGTATCGGTCCGCGGACCGGCGGTTGGGGACCCCTGAGCTATGCTAAAGGAAATACAATACAATACATTGCAGCTTAAATTATATAGAGCCTTCACAACTGCTGCAGCTGTAACAAAGCGCTTTACAGAACATTTAAAATACTACGTGCAAGAAATCAGAATATTGATCTAAATGTAGCTCCCTCAGGATGTAGCATGAAGCACGACACAAAGGCCGTAAAAATACAGGGTTTATTCCTCAGCAACAAGTGAGAATTGCTCACAAACACAGACATGAAACATATAAATACAAATGACATTACAATACAATAAATAAAAGGCAAAAGTTATGAAGACAAGTGATTCAACAAAAAGGCACACAAACCTCGTGGGCTCACATCCACAAGGAGCTAAATATCCTGAGATGTCTTGCTTGCCTCCTTCTTCCTTCGTTTCGTCAGTAGTTAATTATGCTTTTGGTATTATCTTCGTTCTATAATGGCTGCGCAGAGCTTAAAAAGTAGTTGTCTGTTGGAGTGTGTGTTGCCAAATGCACATGTCAATTAGTGTCACGTAGAACCTTTTTAGGTTACAATTGGTTCCTGCTAATAATCACCACTGGATGGCATAGGAACACTGTACTTATCACCATATATAAGGCACATCGGATTATAAGGCGCACTGCCAGCTTTTGAGAACATTGAATGCTTTTTTAGGTGCACCAAATAGCGCGGAAAATACGGTAAATTATAAGTATACTAAAATTGACAATACGATATATCTCTAATTAAAAGTTGATTTGAGAAGTCTTCAAAAGTCATTGCATGACGGTGGTCGGCTTCATTTTATGTGGGGAGAAAAACACTTTTGGATGACTGACATACTGTTACAATGTTTCATATGAAACATTTTGATGTTTAAAAAAAATTCTAATTCATGAGGATTTGCTTTTTCTTTCAAACCTGCAAATTTACTGCATATTTTACATTACTCTAAATACTAAACGTTTAAAGAAAAAGCGCTTTTCAATGACTTAATATTTTTTAATGACATATCTTTACTTGTTACTATAGTTAGTCATCAGTCTGTCCGTCAATTTTCTGTACTGTTTATCCTCACAATGGATTTTAAATGATTTCGTTTTATGGTAAAAATCTGTCGGAACTAATTTTTGTATTTAGCTGAGAGAGTCTGGGATTGTGCCAGGATGTTTTTTGCTGTATTCCCTGTTTCAATGCTCTATTTCAGCATAGTTGTTGGCTCCTAAGAAGTACGTAATGTAAATCTGAGTGGTTTGAAATATCAATTGTTGTCTCGCAATACATTCCATATATGACCTCTGATGTTGTGTGTAATATAAACATTTTTCAGAAAAACATGACAAATGCATGTTTGTCTAAGTCTTTGTTTCTTTCCTTTTTTTTCCAGATTCAATGGCATGCTCTACATCGACCTGTGCAAAAATGGTGACATTGATTTTTGCGAGCTAAACGCACGCTTTGGGATACGTTCCATTATTGCCGACCCAGTCACCTTTAAATCCAAGAGTAGCTATCTACATACGTGTCACTAAAGGACAGTCTTGGTCTCGGAGGTTCCGCAGGATCTGTCAGTGGTTCCGACCACGCATCTGAGTTGGATTGTCCGTTGGCGTGGAAACTGTCTCCACAAGACTTCTTGCTATGATGATCTGTTAGCTGTAGAAGAGAGGTCAGTGGAAGACAGGCTTTTGATTATTATGTATACTATATAGAGCATATTAATTATGAGTAAATGACACAACCAGAGAATGTACTGTAACTTGTTTGTAGCAGACACTTGTGAATGTTCCTCGTTGATAAAATAGTGACAGATACTGTTCATGTTCATGATTTGTAAGCAAAAGTCTGCTTATTCCTTTCAAAATATGAAACATAGTCACGGAACTGGGAGAGAAAGCATGCATCGTGGTTAATCATTTTTGCTTATGTTTAAAAAAATATATGGGCTCTACTTCCATGGTATTATGGGAAAAGGGTATACTTGATATTGAATATTTCATTTTGGTTTGGCATGCAAGTTTTTTTCATTCTTTGTTTACATATTGTGATGAATCAATACATTGATTACCAGTACAACTTTCAATTATGTTGGCCATTATCGATTGAACACAGCTACAGACTTACACTTGTGGCAACATTTCTGGCATGTGATAAACTTCTGCCATCTCCTCTCCTGTGTCTGTGTGTCGAGGAGGAGATGGGGCAAGGTACCACTGAAGTGGCGCCACCATCCTGACTGAGAGATGAACTGCTCTCACAGTTACGTTTAGGAGGGGGTTCTTCAGATAGGGGGGACAGTAGGGGAGGAAGAAGCTTCTCATCTTGCCGCCGGGACTGTTTCCTGTTTAGAGATCTAAAGAACATGCACACACACACACACACACACACACACACACACACACACACACACAAAAAGGAAATAAATACATCATGGGTAGGCAGTTGTATTGGCTTTTCTTGACATATTTATATGTCATCAGGAATAAAAGAGTTAATAGACTACATCGAACACAAAATTATGAAAATATGTACTTCGCAGTGACATTCGAATATTACACATTTCATGCACACACACACACACACACACACGCGCGCACACACACACACACACACACACACACACACGGAAAAGTAAGCATATCTAGTATTATTTTTAATGAAAGCAGCAACCCCCAAAAATTGTAGCGATACGAGCCATGCGAAGACTTATTTAGAAGCGCCAAAATAAAAACAAATTATAAATACTACTCACAATTAGCTCGGCTTCAAAGAGTCGTGGCCCTTTGGCATATGCCAAGAAATATTATGACAGATACACCAGTGCAGTGTGGTGTTTGTTATTCTATGATGAACAAAGTTGTCATTAGCACATGGTTGTTTCATTATTTGGACATTCTGTAATAATCTGGCGATGATGCTTCAGGTTCGGTCACTGCCCTTGTACTTCGCCGCAGGTAAAAATAGCAAGCCAGGGTGAGCCTCAAGACATTAGCTAGCTTTTCGTTAATGTTGGACTCATCTGCTTGCTAGCCGTACGCGCTACATGAACAGATCCACTGGAAGATGAATGCTGCGTCTGTGACATGTTATTAAACATACATTGCAATTATCTACCAAGTATTTTTGCCCTTGTTCAACATGTTTGAGCAATGTGACCCATGATTTTGTTTTTCAAATATCCGTAACAGCAAATGGTATGCGCATAACAAGGTAACATTAAGTGATATCTGTAACAAAATACAGACAATTCGTAGTAGTTGCCGGATCTGGCGATATTTCCATGAAAGACTGTGAGTGTGACACATTTCAAGGGAATGAGAGAAGACACGTTTTTGTGATGGCGAATGAAGTCAAGTGTACAGACTCGCACAATGCCGTCACACCCACCTGTAGAATTACCTGGCCACGGCCATCCACAAAACTACCAACACTTTGTCTAACCTGCCTCTGTGCAGTTTTACGCCGGTCACAAAAATAAAGCCTTTAGATAGCCATTTTTCTTTCTTTCTTTCTATTTTTTGGAGGGAGGGGGGGAAATAATGTTTGCATAAACCATGATGACACCATTTGAGTGTCAACTCTCTCTGTTGTCTTTCTTTGCAAATGTTACCATTATCAAAGTATCGAACAGAGCTGATGTTATTCACTTCATGTCCGTGATGCGTCAAAACAAAATGATTATGTTCACATTCGTTTGTCAGACCATGAACAAGCCACAGTTAGATTACGGTTTTGTTAACATGTGTACATAAGGATATTTAATAAATAAAGCTGAAATAAACATGACAAAATAAGATGTATGCCAGTAGTATACCTTTAAAATTGTATTTAATTAGTTAGATCTGCTTGATTTTGAACATATTTAAATTCAGATAATTGAGTGGTTAGTAAGTTGTTGTTTACTCCATCCATGAGAAATCTAGCATTTGTATTCATCATGCACATGTCAGATAAGATTTAACAGGAGGAAATTCTGACTAAAATGAAAATGTTCTCCCCTGCAGATATATCCATTATGTTTTTGACTTGGGAAATGGACCTAACTTGATCAAGGGAAAAAGTGAGAGAACCCTAAATGACAACCAGTGGCACAATGTGGCGATCACACGAGACAACAGCAATACCCATACTCTGAAAGTCGATGCTACAACCACATTTCAGAGCATAAATGGGGCCAAGAACTTGGACCTGAAAGGTATGCAAATAAGCCCGTTTGTTTGCGATGATGTTGGTTAAACATTCATGAATTCACCACGTTACCTACAAATGTATCTTATTTGATATACCATAGCAGCAGTTTTACATTTTGAGTCACAAAATTAACAGGTATAACATTGCTTATTATTACAATATAATAATTTTGGATTGAAATGAGTCTAATCTAATTTTTTTTTTTTTAATCTGTTCAGGTGACCTATTCATTGCGGGATTGGGTCCTGGCATGTATGGTAGTCTGCCTAAACTGGTAGCTTCCAGAGAAGGTTTCCAAGGCTGCTTGGCTTCAGTGGACCTAAACGGACGTCTGCCAGATCTCATCAGTGATGCCTTGTTTCGTAGTGGGCAGATTGAGCGTGGATGTGAAGGTACACAGTCCCTCAGGTCTGAGCCTGATTTAGACTACTACAACATTAACTTCAACTCCAGCTCCGGGAGCTCATTCTACCTGCTCAATGCAAACAGTAGCACCGCAGCCTTGTATCCATATGGACGTTCTTCCATCGTCTTAGCTGTACTTGTTGCCTCGCTTCAGCACTGCTAAGGCAAAACCAACCTTCATACAACTCCTCCAAAAAGTGTGTTTTATCGGCCACATTGGCTGCCATCTGACAATTCACAAACACATTCATCCAGTCGGACTGACATGACTAGGTGCTCCACTTTTGGAAAGATTGAGAGCTACAGTGAAACTCCTCAACAACGAAATCATGTTTGCAGCAAGAAATTTTTCACAACAGGGGACTTTTCACTATAGCAAATTTTATCTCAGCTGTAAACAGGGGTTTTTTCACTGTAACAAATTTGATCTCAGATGTAAACACGCGCGCACACACACACACACACACACACACACACACACACAGAAAATGTATGTGTGTACTCTTTATTTTGATTCCAATAATGCATAAGTATGAGCATACACCTATTTGACCCTTCCTATAGCCAGTGTAGAAAGAAAAAAACGGGAAAGAAATTGCGAAATTTACGATCAGCATTCTCTTGCATAATGTCTTTTACTTTGCTTCCTTCATCTTGCATTTTTATTACTTTTACTTCAAGTGTTAAAGCTTTTCTTTTCTTCACTCCTTGGTCTGCAAAGGTTTTAGCAATGCAACGTTCGTGCTGCATCTGAAACTAACAATAACAAATACTTACTGTACTACTGCGCATGTGTAAACCAGTGTGGTGGTTGCTGTTGCCGTTTCGGAGCGAAGCAGTAGCGATGGCTGTGGCAGGCTGAGGTCGGATTAGACTTTTCCGGAAGGCTTGTTTTCGTTGTAGTGAACCTCGTTGCGAGGCAAGGGCAGAGAAAAAAAATGTCGTATTATGCAACAGGGGGACTTTTCGTTGAAGGGGAGCAGAAAAGTGGGAATAGCTTTCATGCATGAAGATTTTTTCGCACTAGGGGGTATTTTCCCCCATGTAGGTTTCATTGAAGAGGAGTTTCACTGTACATTCTTATATCGGAGCATACTTAATAGTGTCTAGTCCACTTAGCAACTCCAAGATGTATTGCTCTGACAGAGGTGCATAAACCTTTGAAGGCTGCGAATGTTTTAGTTGATCCACTGTGCCCAACTCCTTTAATTGCCATTAAATCATTATCGTACCTATGTCTGTTCTGAAACTGCACATACTACAAATATGTAAATGAATATTAAAAGTAACGGAAAGGAATAAGGGCAGCACGATGGTCTAATGGTTTGCACGTCGGCCTCACATTGCTCAGGTGCAGGGTTCAATTACGGCTCCGGCCTTCCTGCGTGCAGATTGCATGTTCTCCTTGTGCCTGCGTGGGTTTTTTCCGGGTACTCCGGTTTCCTCCCACATTCTAAAAACATGCATGGCAGGTTGATTGGGCACTCCAAATTGTCCCTTGATGTGATTGTGAGCGACAGTGGATGTTTGGCTCTGTGTGCCCTGCGATTGGCTGGCAACCAGTTCAGGGTGTACACCGCCTGCTGCCCAAAGACAGCTGGGATAGGCTACAGCACCCCCCGTGACCCTTGTGAGGATAAGTGGATTAGAAAAATGGATGGATGGAACGATGGATGGAAAGGAATATGTTAGATGAAATGTTAAAAATGAACGATGATTCTTAACACCGTGTTCCAAACAATTATGCAACTGACAATTTTCCCTGATTTTCCGAATTCTGAAGCTGCTATCAAATAAGAGGTCTGTGTTAATATGTAACTTGACCGATTTACATGCTTTTGATAGCAATAGCATTTTGATTTCAGTAAGTATGACCTTCTAATGCTAAGAATTTATGAAGTGACTATTTTCAGTTCTTTCCAAGCTATAAAATGTTTTCAGTCTCTCTTGTAAGAATTTGAAACATCCATCCATCCATTTTCTAATTCGCTTATCCTCACAAGGCTCACAGGGGGTGCTGGAGCCTATCCCATCTGTCTTCGTGCAGTAGGCGGGGGACACCCTGAACTGGTTGCCAGCCAATCGCAGGGCGCACAGACACTAGCAACCATTTGCGCTCACACCTAGAAACAATATCCAGTGTTCCATTAGCTTGGCATGGGAGGAAACTGGCATACCCGGAGAAAAGCCACGCAGGCATGAGGTGAACATCCAAACTCCACACGGGCATGTCGGAGCCAGAATCGAACCCTGCACCTCTGGACTGTAAGGCGGATGTGCTAACCAGCCAACCACTGTGCCACACGAATTTGGAACTGTGCATTTTAATTGTATGTATTTATTTTTTTTAGTCCCATTATCATTGGGAGGTTTGTTTAAAACCATTTCCATTCTTCTCTAAAAATTGAAGACTTGAAAATTATGCTTTCATTTGCATCAAATATTTCAGAAAATGAGAGAAAAACATCAGTTACATCATGATTTGGAATGCAATGTAAGCTCAGTACCGGTAGTGATGATGAAGTCTGTACCTTAGCCTATTTGCTAACTAACTCAGTGGAGAGAGTAGTTTATTGTCAATTGTTATTGAGGGTGAGCTGTTGATTAGATCAGATATTTATTTGCACAACTGCACTACAGAGTCATATCGAATGATCATTTAAAACCGTTTTACTTTCTACTAACAAATAGTTATGTAATAATTCATCCATCCGTTGTCTACGGTTTATCTCGTTCGGGTTTCGGGTGACCTGGGGCCCAACACAGGAGACCTTGGGTTGGTCGCATATGAATAGCAGGCCATGTCTAGACAAACAATTCAAACCTCATATTTTTACTTTGAAATCACGGAAAAGCACACATTTTAGGTTATTATGATTAGGATCTTTTACAGACAAGTGAAAAATAAGTAGCCTAAAAAACACACACACGGAAAAACCCAGACAACTTACAATGGATATGTGATTATTGACCTTACTCCGACAGTCTCAAATGTATAGGGGTGTTCACACCGCACACATTTGCATTGGTGCTGCACCGATGTATTTTATTGTGATATATCTTACACCAGTGTAAATTTTGTGGAGCGTTCACACTTATAAAGCTGCTTACTAAAGAGAAGTGTGTTAACCCCGGTGCAGCCTCACTTGCATTCAGTTTCTGCGGCCATGCAATACGGAAATAAAACATGCGCATGCATAAAGTGTACTTCCTTTTCCCCGCCTTGTTTGTGACATATCGAAAAACCATGGTTTATACTTCTCCAGACAAATCAATGACACCGTAAAAGGATGATAGAGAGAAAGGAAAGATATAAATACAAATCTAAATCCCAAGGATGCAAGTTATGCAATACCCATATGTAATCAACTCTTCTCATGCGTAGCAAGTCTACTCCTGTAGCATTCACACGTCCCATTTTATATCGGTGCTGCCCCGCAAACTAGCATTTACTCCGGAGTAAATTTTTAAACCACCTCCTGAGCAGGGTTAAATTTGCTCCGGTTTAAGCTGTTTTCCGGGGCTACACCGGTATAACCTTGTACGTGTGAACACTCTACTGGGTGCTACACTGGAGTCAAAGTTGCCGTGTGAACCCCTCTATAGTTGGGCTTGAACTGAGACAATGACGTCTCATTTGTTTTTGTGAATTGTACTTACATGCAAAATGCTTATGAAAACTCTCCAAGGAATGTCATTGTAGAATGTACTGCTTCTGATTTTGGGTTTGGTACGAAAAGGGAAAAACTGTACATAGTCCAGTATTAGTGTACCTCGAAACATGCCAACGCATCAATTTGTTTTCGACTTACAGTTTTACTTGACATTATAGCTACTTATTTTATAATAGCTGCATCGAAAATGGGCTTTCAAAAACTTTGCATGAACAAGAGATGTCATTGTGGCAATATGTTTCCATCCTTCTGTGCAAGTTGTGCTATCTTTAATGGCTGTTTTTGTCAACTTCTAAAAGCTTCTGGGTTAGCTTCCATATGTTGTTTGCATGGAAATCATTTTCTGTACAGTAATTTGTTTTGTTTTTTTGTTTTTGTGTTTTGCCTGCCACATCATTCAGCTGGGCATTGAGTGTATTGTATTTTTCTTTTTGTTATGGTGGCTTACGGACTCCATGTTCGAGAAATGAATGTCTGTTGACAGCAAGTGACAAATGTGTACTTGTCTGTACTCACTGTGACAATCTGAATGAGGTTGATAATGATGTTTTTCATTGTACAACAATAAAAGTAATGGATGATTGATTCATTTTATCAAATAAAATCTCATCAATCACAGTTTTTTGGTCTTGTTTAATGTCCATGGCAATGTAGTGTCTCATTTTTTTATGTGTGCTTGTATGTATACATTTTTTTTTCCAAGCCAATGCATCATGATTTGTCATTTAAATCGCATTGTCATTTCCTGCCTCGACTTCACTGCAAGCTTTTGACACATGAAATTGATTTCTGCTTTTTCAGCCTCCATGCCATTATAAAAGCCCATTAATGATATTTGGTCACAATGCAAGACTGTACAATTTAGCTGAACTGTATCGGGTGAGATTAGCAAGCAAGGTCATTTTTGACTCACAAAAATATATACCCCTCCAAAAGTACTGGAACAATGGAGCCAATTCATTTTGCTCTAAACCGGAAGCATTTGGGTTTGACAGAAAAAGATGATGAGAAAGACGACCAAAAGACTAGCTTCTATTTCCAGGTATTGACATCCAACTTCCTGATTAGACTCGCATTATACTATGTATTAAGTTGCAAATATTTTGCTTCCATCTTTAAGCGTCTTTCGGTTATTTGTTTTGAGAAGTGTGTGTCAGGGATGAGATTTTCCACTTTTTGGCGGAATTACACTTTTTTTCCAGTCAAAATTGACCTTTTTTATATTGTTCCAAATCTGCTGAGAAAATTTTAGTGGGGGTGGGGGTCTGGTGTTATTTCTGGGCTGCTGGACTTACTTGTCTTCGGCAGACTCGGGACTGGTAATGTTTACAAATAAAGTTTGCAAGCATCCATTTTTGAATACACTTTTTTCTCGCGAAGCGTTGGTTTGTCGTTACTTCGTATATGGGCTAAAACCAATGTCTGACTTGTTGTGATCGGTCGCTATATCGGCAAATGCAGAATCACAACCGATCCGTGTTCGCCTTCCTAAACCCCTTTCCCGCGAATTCTGAATGGTTTTGCACGAGGGATGTAGTGTATTGAAATTACTCGTGTATGTAGACAGACTACATACACGAGTAATTAAACAATTGCCGAATGTTATCGAGACTCGTGACGAAGCTAAAGTGCGTCAGATAGATGCGGATCTGAAAAACAAGTTTCGATGGAACTGGTTGGATAGAAAGCTAACGGTGTCCTCAGTAGCAACCAGTAAAGAGGAACCATTGTCTGTGCTTGTGTCGGATTTCGTGAAAAAGCTCGATGTCGCTGGTAAAGCTCTGTGTACAGTGTGTGACGATGTCATTCTATACGGAAAATGCATTCATAACCCATATATAGTAAACAGTTTGGGACTTCACTATCACTGTATGAGGTAAGAATCAACAGCTTTTTATCACATTTACACAACATTTTATGAATACTGTACAAGTAATGAACGAATCTTAAATATGGCAGGGAATGTGTTTCCTTTTTTAGTTTTGATCTTGAGCAGCAAATTTGAAGTTACATGTTGGTGCTCACCAGGAATGCATAAGCAAAATTGCACAAAGGCCTATGTCAAATTTTCACTTGAAAGAATAGTGAACAATCTTGGTTTAGTATAAAGTGCCAATTTTGTAAGCAAATAGGGAATGGTATTTCAACAAAAATTGTAAAATTTTGTTGATAAAATTAATAGTTTTAAGGCTTTAAAATCTCTAAAATCCATAAACTAACGTATGTACTCCAAATAAACTTCTACTTTAGAATAAAGTGCCAATTTTGTCAGCAAATAGGGAATGGTGTTTCAACAAAAATTGTACAATTTTGTTGATAAAATTAATGGTTTTAAGGCTTTAAACTCTCTAAAATCCGTTAGCTTCCGGGGGCTTTGCCCCCTGGGCTCCCATTCGGGGCATTGCCTACGGTCCCCAGACCCCCGGCTGATTTTCAGATTTTTTCATCACTAGCCACTCTTATCCCTGGTGCGTGCGTGCGTACGTGTGTGTGTGTGTTCGAGGGGCGATTACCCCATAATGTCCCCTCTTTAGCAGGTCAAATACATGCTTGAAGTGTGGAAAATGACATGGCCAGTCTAACACCTTCCATTTCTTTCACCCGATTAACTTATTTGCAGTTTTGCAATGGGACTGTTTCTTTGATCAATCAGATTTCCAATCCGATGAGCTGGCCCTCGATGACATCAGCATCTTCACTCCTCTGACATGTTCGGTCGAGCAAGCCAAGTTGCATCCATCCATTTTCAAAACCGCTTATCCTGAATAGGGTCGAGGGAATTGCTGGAGCGTATCCCAGCTGACTTTGGGCAGAAGGAACCCTATACACCCTGAACCGGTCGCCAGTCAGTTACCGGGCACATATAGAAACAATCAACCATGCACACTCACATTCACACTGTGACTGAGTGTGAACCGATCCCACGTTGCCTGCACATAAGTCAGGCGATTGTACCACTACACTATCAGCGTTGCAAAGCTGGCAAAATAGACTATGTCTGTTTATATGTACATTATTTTTAATGATCATCATAGCTTGTGATTATGATGTATTGGAGTAATCTTTCTAGGTTTCTGTTGTGCTATTACCGTGCTTGTCCCTGTACATTATGGCCAAATTCCAATTCTTCTGGCTCGTAAAGCCCCTTTTCCATTGTACTGGTTCTACCCTGAAACTTCCTGGTTCCGCCCCGTGTTGTCCATGACACTGTTTCAGGGTGATGCGGCTACATAGGAACCGTTCTTCAGATCCTCTTCCGACCTAGTTTAAAACGCAGGCCGAGCAGGGCTGTGCCATCTCTGTCATCTGGTTTGCTGACAGATGTAGGTTTTTTTTTTTTTTGTTTGTTTGTTTTTAAGTGATTCCACAAGGAACTCCACTGCACAGGGCAATTTGCTGTTTTCAAACATGCGAGACAGCCTCCACCAAGTCATAAAATTACAATATATGCAGTACACAGTGTGTACCATTTCATACCTCATGTGTAAATTTTTTTTGCTGAAATAAGTGAAGCTTGTGGTCAAAAAAATTGGCAAGCCATGCACACATCGCTGAATCCATTCACTTGAACGTGAATGAGAGCGAGTCGCATCTTTTAATGTAGCTACACTTTCCACTTTTGGGCCACGGCACACTGTCTGATGTCAGACAAGGGACACACAAGTTGCTCCACAAAAAGGACCTACATCCATTCATCCATTTTTCTTGCGCTTTTCTGGGATTGGGTCTTGGGGACAGCAGCATTAGCAGGGAAACCCAGACTTCCCACTCCCCAGCGACTTCATACAGCTCCTCCGGGGGAATGCCGAGGTGCTCTTCGACCAGCCAGCAGACATACAGGTAGTCTCTCCAGCATTTCCTAGATTTGTACCTGGGGCCTTCTCCCAGTGGAATGTCACTAGGGCGACGTCTAGGGGGGGCTCTTAACATTTTGCCCGAATCACTTCACCTGGCTCCTCTCAATGTGGAGGAGCAGTGGCTCTAGTGTAAGGCCCTCTCAGATGACTGAGCTTCTCGAGCCAGGCCACCCTGCAGAGGAGACGCATTTGTATCTGGGATCTTGTTTGAGGTTAGGGTAGGAACGGAGATCGACCGCTAAATCGAGAACTTTGCTTTGTGGGCTCAGTTCCTTCTTCACCATGACAGACTAACACAGTCTACCGCACCGAACCACCTGTCGATTTGACGCTCCATCATTCCCTCACTCGTAAACAAGACCCCAAGATATTTGAACTCCTCCATTTGGGATCAGATCTCATCCCCAACCTCAAGAGGGCACATCACCCTTTTCTGATGGAGGAACATGATCTCAGATTTTGAGGCACTGGGAATTAGAGATTGTTGCTTGATGAAGCCAACAATACCGCATCATCTGCAAAAAGCAGAGATGCAATACTGAGGCCTCCAAATTAGATGCGCTCAGTCCCATGGCTGCACTGAGAAATTCTGTCTAGAAAGGTTATGAACATGATCTGTGACAAAGGGCAATCCTGTTTCTAGAAGGAAAAAAAAGAGAGAAATCAAGGTCTTTGTAAAAAGAACTTCAACTTTCAAATCAATATTTTTTTTTGCTTTTTTATGATGGCCATTTTGATGTATTTTCAAGTATCTATTTACAATTTTAATATTTGCCAAAAATATATGAATATTGTGCTGTATACAGGCGTGCGCATGCGTGCATATTAAAATCCATCCCAAAGAGCATTTTGGCGAGGGAGGGGGTGGGGGGGGGTTGGCGGTAAGATGGAAGCACACAACAGGATTCACACCATATTGTTCAACACCCCAATACATGGTGAGCATTGTTTTTTGTAAAAACGCAGTGATAAAAGTCAGTGTCAAAAATGTTTTGAGTTCATTTACTGAAATGGGGAACTGTCCCAGTTAGCATGACACCAGCCAGAATCATCCAGACTTCTGCGACTTGTATGACCTGTATAATATACAAGTACATAATTACCATAAAATATATTTACTTGGTGCAAAGTGAAGTAAAGAAAAACTGTTCACCTTGTACTGCCAACAGGAGGAATGGGAGTGTTCCTTGTGTTTCTTGTTCGTTTTTTCGGTCCAACTAGATTTGCCATCCCGGTCTCATCTGGGCTCCAATAAACTCCCTCCAACCTTTTGTGTATTGTCAAGGTGTTCCTTGTTGTTGCATCAATTTGTCTGTATTTAGTTCCATGCTTTATTTTCAGTCGTGGCCAGTTCATTTATATATGTCACAATTCGCATCAAGTTGCGGTTTGTTTGTCTGCAGTCTGAGTCCTTTTCCCCCCCTTATTTTTGTTTAGCTACTTTTATCTTGATTGTTTTGGACTTTTGTTCATTTCGTATTTTTCATAACGGCAGTGCTTTGTTTGCCTCTTTGTTTTGTTCTTTTGGAAATTGGAACACATTTTGTTTTGAACGCCAACCTGCTTCCTTGCATTTGGGTCTACCTACATGCCGTAACCTGACAGGGCCTGGCTTACAATCACCATTCTAGTCCATTTCCAAATGTTTGATGGGTTTGAGATTAAAACTCTGTGTGGGCCATTAAATTCCACTGTCGCACATTTCCAACCATATGCCTTTATTTTTTATTATTCTTGCTTGTTGGAACAGAAAAAGGCCCTACCACATCTTTTTCCCCCCCACAAACTTGAAACCATACAATTAACTGAAGAGTTTTGACCCAAATCCAAATTACATTTTTTTTTCATGTTGTTTTAAAAATCTTTTCAAATATTCCAAAACAAAAATAAGTTTCCCAAATTACTTTCTAGCCTTGCTGAATTCGGTGCATTGTGTTCATGTAACATGACTAGTCTTGAACCTGCAAATTAATAACTACGGTCAGTCAAGCCGACTAAATCTTACTTAAATTGCAAGCACCACTTTCCAAAATGTCTCCTTATTTTCTCAATGGAATAAAGTCAAGTGTGTGCCAATCAAGACAACTTCAGTTCCTGTTAAATCCGGGTCTGTTTGTTGGGAATATGGCTGTGTGTGATTGTGGGGGCTTGTGGATTTTGCAGGTCCCAGCACCACCTGCCAGGAGGACTCCTGTGCCAACATGGGGATTTGCATCCAGCAGTGGGAGAACTACACTTGTGACTGCTCCATGACTTCCTACACGGGGACGCAGTGCAATGACCGTGAGTGCTGATGAGACATACTCTTACCACACTTTCACATCATGCACAAAATCACCAAAACATGGCTAATTTAAAGCGGTAGGGGACTTGAGTCATACGACGTGACTTGTGTCAGACTCGAGTCACAAAATTTAGGACTTGGGACTTTCTTGACTAACATTTATGAAAGACTTTGAAAATTTTGAACAAACACCTCTTTTAATTCTCAGGACTGTAACATGTGGTGTAATTAAATGTGTCCCGTGGCATACTAGGTAGCTGTGGGAAGTGGTCCAATTTCACTTAATTGGTCAGAAGATTATTTACTGCAAATAATGTATCTTTTATTTCAACCTATCCCAGTGAACAATGAAATGCTCTTCCGCTGTATGGTGGAAGGTACCAAATTAACCAGTCCATCCTCTTTTCATATACTGTACTGTACTTTTGTATGTTTGTTGGGGCGTAAACTCCAGCTAGGATGTCATTTAACAGCTTAAATTAACCAGTCCATCCTCTTTTCATATACTGTACTTTTGTATGTTTGTTGGGGTGTGAACTCCAGCTAGGATGTCATTTAACAGCTTGAAGGTATTGTAGTGTGTGTAATGTAGCGCCATCGAGCGGTGAACTAATAGAATGCAATTATCTAAAACGACAGAGGTATTGTAGTGTGTGTAATGTAGCGCCATCGAGTGGTAAACTAATAGAATGCAATTATCTAAAACGACAGATTGTGCTTTCTGAAGCACGCCGCACTACGGTGCATCAGAGAGGCCAAACTTCGTAAGACTTCCCACGGTAACGTCGGCAGCTAAACGTCAGACACACACGAACACCCTCCCCCCGCCGGCCCCCCGCACACGCACCCATAAACGCATAACCATCTTAATCTGTGTTTCATTATCTCACAACAAATATGCAGACCCATTTATCGCGTTCTTTATGTATGCATTTTTCTCATCAGTCCTTTGCAGCTAACGCGTCGAGCTATTGTTAAAATGTGAAACATTAACCACAGCCTCATCGTTTGGCATAAGCTTTCTAAAATAAAAAAAATAAAAAATACAAATAAAAAACAATTCCAATGAAGTTAAGGAATTGTGTAAAATGTAAAAAAAATTGCGAAGTATTCATTTGAATGTAGGTTGAAAAGGACTTGCGGATTGTTGTATTCTGTTGTTATTTACGTTTTACACAACGTGCCAAATGCATTGGAATTGAGGTTTTAGAAACGAACGGTACATCAATGTCTTGATTTCCCTCAATTTCATGATGGAAGGCCTTGAGGTGGCTTTTAGGATTGATGGTGTTTTTTTCCTGTGATTTTTATGGCTGCATTTCTCCCCATCTTAAGTCTTTTCACAACTCATTCTGTTTTCTTCTCCACGGCTATTGTATGGAAGCAAAAGTGTGTTGCGTGTTAATTATTTCAAATTCTGTTCCTCAGTCGTGGTATCACTTTTATTTTCCATACCATTTAAAGTGCTATGACCACCCTCATGAATTTTGAAATGTACCCCATCTAACCACAACACTCAAGAGTTCATTCAATGCAGGTGACGCACATTATAAGTTTTTACGCAAATGTCATATTTAGAAACCAAATTTCTAAAGTTCAAGCCACGTTTTGAGGTATTTTTGATTGATATTGATTGTTACATTGAGCCTCTCAAATTTATCGACAAGAAAGGCAAAAATGTTTTGGGGCATATGCAGTTCCTGAATTTGAAATCTGTCAATAATTTGTCAAGACAGAATACGTATTTAGCTGAGCAGGAATGTCTGATTCTATATGGTTACCTTCTCTCTTCTAATTTGTTATACGGTATTGACTAAGTTGATGTTACTGAATTGAACTCAATAATGTATAATTAAAACGTTGCGTTAATTTCAAGTTAATTCAGCGTGCCTCTTTAGGCTTATGTATTTGTTTATATTAATTTAAATCTATTCCTCTTTCGTCTAGATTTGAAATTGAGAATGCATACTAATCGTTTGAATATCATTTTTATGAAAGTGAAATTTAACCAGGTATTTCGCGCCCCCTACAGTCCGCGACGCCCTTAGAATCTGTCTGTCTCACTTAAAGGACGAGCCAGCCCTGACAGCAGGTGTCAGTACAGGGCAGAACACTGTTACAGTGTGTTGACAATAGCCTGCCACATTGATGTTGCAATGTGCTTCAACATGAAACGTTCTTCTGCTCTACTCAGCTGGGACCACGTACATCTTTGGCAAAGGAGGAGGCCTAATAACATTCAAGTGGCCGGCCAATGAGAGACCAAGCACCAGGACTGACAGGCTGACTGTTGGGTTTAGTACCTCGCTCAAAGATGGCATCCTTGTCAGGATTGACAGCGCTCCTGGTCTGGGGGACTATCTCATGCTGCACATAGTAAGTTCATAGCCAAGCTCATTGCTTTGTCTGTGATGCTACTGAACCAGCTGTCACACTCCCAGGACGCAAGAATACGGATCACAATCTTTTTTTCAATTAAAGTCAATCAGGGCTCTTTAGAGTGTGAGACGGTGAGCCTTCCCACACGAAGGACTTGGTGTGAAAGTGTTACTTACCCATGCAGTGCCCTGACCTTAACCTCCTTTTTAGAAATGAGGCCTGCTTGTCCTACATTGGTTAGATTAATCACTGTGTGGAAGATGATGTAGCTGCAAACGAAAGACCTGCTTCATATTTTTGTCATTTACGCTTGGTTTAATCACTAGGTGTACTGATACTTTTGTCCATCTAGTGCAAGTGGACAGGTAGGTTACTCTATGGGGCTCTCTGGTGCAGACCGTCACCAGAGCCCAGCCTTAAGGGGGCACATGAAATGCATGGGAGGGTGGGGGCAGATCAATTAATACCTTACCTTACTCCATATATTGAAGACCGTCACCAGAGCCCAGCCTTAAGGGGGCACATCAATTAATACCTTACTTTACTCCATATATTGGTGTAACCATCTTGAATGGCGCTTTTTGCATCAACAACATTTACATTACATAAATAGAAGCCTTCTTGACTTCATCGACGCCGCAGCCGTGTTGCATGTTGTGAAGATGCCTCCTTCACTTGCTCCTTGGAGACATGTCATCAAGCAAAAACTCATTGGATGAACACGGAATTATTGCTTTTGATGGTATGACGTTTTTCTGGCTCAATTTTATGATATTATTTGCTGAAGTTAGGGCTAATGAAAGCCACATACTACATGGTGAATGGGCTGCCATATCGCTTCGACCCGGTTCAACAGTTGTCTGCTACAGTATTTACAAGAAAAAAGAAAAGAAAGTGTACCTTCATTTTGCATTTCCAGTTTGTGGCTCCCATGGAATCTTTTATTATGAAATGGTTTAAATGGCTCTTAAATTGTCGACACTAATATAATATGTCCCTTTTCACTTGCCATACAGTGACGCACCATGACAGTGTAATCCTGTGATGTCGGAAAAAACGTCGCCTAATGCGTGAAAACTGCAGTCAATGGTCGCCAACATTTGTGTTGACATTTTAACTTATGCTCTCATCAACCTCTGAATATATTAGAATGATCGCTCAGGTATGAGGGATTTTAGGGTGTTTTCCTCTTGATAGAGGGACTCACTACAACGCTTATGCCACTCCACGAGAGAAATGCGTTGTCTATAAGATACAAAATACGTGACATGTCTTGTCACTTTACACAATGCCACGCTTTGAAAACTGTACTGGACTCTCACATGCAAACATTGACATATTCATCGCGTACACGCCTGCGTACCGAACCTTATTTTCAGTAAGGCTGTGATTCAAGTTAAGTACAACTTTATTGTCAAATGTGCAGTATGTGCAACATACAGCACAGGTGAAATTTCTTCCCTCTCAAACAGACAACAAGAGGAGCCGCTGCGGGTGCCCGCGCCGCCATCAAAAGAACAATTAACATAAAATGACAAAATAATACAACACAACACATAAGACACAGACAGTCGTGCAATCTTAACCACTTTTTCTGCATTCACTTTGTTTGTTTGAAGCAGTTATAGATGAAAGAGGAGCGAATCAAAGTGTCCTTTTCACCAATGGATCAAAGAGGTCATGCTGAAAATGTGCACACATCTGCTACAAGCTAAGTTTGAAAGCAAACAAGCTGTCGCGTCCATTAACGAAAAGAATTTGGCTCTCATCTCCTGTCCCATGTAAATCCGCTTCAATTCCAAGCCGCGACTCCCAGTTCCACATACGCATTGGCGCTTCGCGCTGACGCTCCTTTCTTCTCATCGTCGGCTCCTTAAGCCATGCATCCATCCAGCCACAGACTGCCCAACAGCACCGACCTTTCCGCTGAACAAAGCGGGGCTGTGAAAATGCTGCCCATTACAGGTGCAAAACACAAGCGCCCCGGGGCTGTCCAGCAACGACAGTCAAATGGCGCCAACAATTAAAATCAGTGCTGGTACACACGTGCTGCAGAGAAGGCGCAACCACCAAGCACAGATTCTTCTTCTTTGACGAATGTCGTGGCCAAAAATGTTGAAAACAATCCACATCAGGTCCACACGACAAAACAACACCACCATGTGACAAAACAAAAGACAAAAACAACAAAAAAACGCAAGGCTCTTGAAGAGCACTTGCTGACGGCTGCCTACTTGGGCGCTATCTTGGGGGAAAAAAAAAAAAAACATCGCTGTTGCATGTGAGATTGGCCATCAATCAGACAAAAATGACATCACTGTTTCCTGATATTTTTTATTTATTTGTGATAAGCAACTCAACATTAGTATTTTACAACACAAAAATAGCTACTACAATAAAATAAAATACTAACAACAAAAAAATTAAGAAATCCGTTTCTCAAATGGGGGGACTACAAGCATCTTGGTGGGCGGGCACAGGCCGCTGTGGTGATGGGTCCACTCTGGTGGACATTAAAAAAACGTACAACACCCCTATTTAATTTCAGTGACATTTAGTCTGTCACAAAACATACTTGAACTGCAATTTAATTGAGACATATGACACAACCTACAGTATAGACTAACTCTCATCCTAAAATTTATTTTGCAAGGTCATTGCAATACTTATTTTCCAAATTCAAATGTATTATTCATGCAAGTGCTTTACCCGCCTGACTTTGGTGCAGGCAGCATATATTCAATTCCCACTCAGTGACGGTGAAAATAGGAACAATTGTTGAGCTCACTGTGATTGACTGGCGACGATTGCAAGCTGCGGTCCGCTTTTTGCCCAAAGTCAGCATCGGCTCTAACTCCCCACAACCATCACCAGAAAATGGAAGAATGAGTTGTATCAAAGTCCACAAAAAAAAAAAAAAGCGTTTCAATCACAATACTGTGTATCCTGTGCCATAAATAGGTTCTGCAAACAGTACTTTTTTTATTTTTTGTAATTATCAAAAAAAAAAAAAAAGCGTTTCAATCACAATACTGTATATCCTGTGCCATAAATAGTTTCTGCAAACAGTACTTTTTTATTTTTTGTAATTATCAAGAGTGGCAAATGTTCCAATAACTCCGTGTTTATTCAAATAAAATCAACTGATTTTGTGTTTGTTTCATTTTAGCAACAAGGCAAAATTGGTGTGACATTCAACATTGGGACAGTCGATATCAGTGTGCAGGAGAGCAGTACCCCAGTGAATGATGGAAAGTATCATGTGGTCCGCTTCACCAGAAACGGTGGTAATGCTACACTGCAGGTTGATAACTGGTCCATCACTGAACACTTCCCGACAGGTACCAACCCACAAACCACACTAATATATAGGAGAAACAAATGTTATTTGTAGTGTGTAAGACTTCACTGTTCTTTCAAATATTTTGGTTACCTTCAGATTGCCAATACCTGTATATTAAAAATAACTTTCTACATAATACAGTGTTGTAGTCACTGTCAGGTATTGGGTCTGCATTAAAATAAATAAATGCTGCAAAATGAATATCCTACAGTAATCCCACCTCCATCGTGTGTTTAGCAGCCTCACTCATTTTCTTGGACAGCTAATAATTCTATTTTGGTCTATCTTATTTATTTGGGGTGTAATTCCTCACTTGACCACAAAATGGGGTCACTCAATTTACTTTGAGAGGGTGTAAATTTGAAAGGCAGCCTAGTTTTTGTTGAAAATGTCAGTCACTGTAGCCTGTAATCCTGATTTAAAAGACCAAAGAAAGTGATGGCCGTAGGTTCCTTTTATAGTGTACATTTTTGGTGACAGGGCTGCAAGATATTGGGAAACCATGCGATATGCAATATGGATGTTGATTACTAAATGGATGTTGATATTTTACATGTACCTAAAGAAATGACATTCTTATTTTTTAATGATAGAAATATATTCAGGTTCAAAGTCTTATCTAATTAATAAATAATAAAGTGTGGGGGTGGTCTGGAACGTAGCATATTTAAATAATAGGTTTTTATAATAAAAAAATAATATATTTTCAAGGGCCCTTGTCAGTCACGGGCCTGAAGAATCATAATCACTTTTCCTCCCCTACCACTTTTCCCCTCCCCTCCATGAAGAAGTCATTGTTAATTTAAAAAAAATAATTTTTGATCTGGATTGAATCTCAGCTTTCGCCCTGTATTCTCACCTTGAAGTGAGTCATTCACAGCCGTTTTCTGAGTTTGGTTACGTGACGTTCGTAAACTGAGTCCTTTCGGCACTGTGATGTCATTTTCAGTCGACAGCAAGTGGCAAAATGGCCGCCACTTGAGATAGATAAAAACAGTGGATTTTGTGCTTAACTAATATTCCACAAATGCAATATTATGCCGAATAGTGGGACCGCATAAAATATTCCATTGTCAAGGAAACTTTTGACTTGACTTCACCTTGAATTCCCTAAAGGCCCTTTGCTATTTTAGCTTAACTTTCCATACATTTTTGAACACTCACCACATTTAAAAAAACAACAACAACAACAACATAGACTTACAATGTGAAGTGAATTCAATAGAGGAGGGATATTTTTTTAATATTTATACATAGGTAGATACATTTTTGCATTTTTACATTTTTTGTCTGAATGATGACAACTAAACATCTGTAAATCTTTTGTTGCAGGGAACAGTGACATTGAACGGATTCAGTTGGCCAATAAGAAAATTCCTTTCAAGTATGCCAGGCCAGTAGAAGAATGGCTACAAGAAAAAGGTATTTGCAAATATTTATGCATTTTAAAATGTGTTTACTTTCCTCATGGCCACTTCACTGAATAACTCCAATTTGCTTGATCTAACTTGAGAAATAAACTAAAAGTTCTGTCGTTTAACTGAAAAAATTTTAATGTCAATATCGTATGTACCACCACTCCTCATTTGAGTAACAGGAGCGTGTTGTTTGAGCATAGAATGGCAGTGTTGTCAGCCAAACGGCATTTGAAAAAGGAACATCTCTAAATGATTTCAATAATTATATTTCATGGTTAAGTGACCAGAAATTTTCAGTCAGAATGATTTCAATCAGAATGACAAAAAAACTCCCCGTGTAAACCTGGCTAACGTGGGGCCAGACCAGCATGAGATAAACAACACAAAGCAAGCAAGGTTGTATCATGGTGAGTGCATTGATTTGTTTACAGCTGTTGAACTGTCAACAAAGTTAGCATTTAACATTAGCCAAAGTAATAACACAAACACCGGTCACCAGATTGAGCCGTTTTTTAAAAAAATGTTAATGTCTGTCGGAGGAGCTCTCCCTCCACTCAAAGTTACCCCAGTGTAGTTGCACGAGGAACAAAAGCAAGCGAGACATGCTACCTGGTATTTCATGTCTCATGTTGCATGTTTTCTTGAGAGCGAAGAAATGTCATCTGTGCTGTATGTTGCACTTGACTTGATGTCCGGTCTAAACTTAGCATAATAGCGCTAAAGCTATCAAATAAACATATGGTACAATTAGAATAAATTAACATTCAATGCCTCACAAAAATAGTACGCCTTATGACCTGTTCAATTGATATTGCGGCTAACGGTCCGTAACATACGGTATTTTGAAATCTACGGGAAGGCAACAAACTTTCAGAACAAGAATTTAGTCTAACAAACTCTGGACAGTCTGTTGCTCTCGCTACCAGGAAACATGCTGCTATTTGGTTTGAAAGCTTTGTTTGAAAATCTTTTTTTCTGATTTTATTACACATGGCTGTCTCTTCTAGGACGGCAGCTAACCATATTCAACACTCAAGCCACAGTTGCAATTGGTGGAAGTGATCGCGGCCGGCCATTTCAGGGTCAACTGTCTGGGCTTTATTATAATGGCCTCAAGGTGTTGAACATGGCTGCTGAAAGCAACCCTAACGTTAAGATAAATGGCAGTGTGAGGCTGGTTGGTGATGTCCCCAGCGGGGCAGGCTCAACCAAGTCCACTGCCATGCCTTCGGATGTCTCCACTACTTTCATTGAGACTACAACCATGATGTCCACCACCACCACACGGAAACACAGGTCCTCTTCAACGGTATGGGTTAAATACCTCACACACAATGGCTAAAGAACACATTTAGAAAGTATTCAGCACCTTTTGTTGCAGCCTTAAACCACAATCGTCATCTATTACTGTTGAAAAGTATTGAACGTCATTTTTCATGAACAGTATCACAGAGCCATTATGGCCGACTGGTTAACACATTGGGGGCTCGGTGGTCGACTGGTTAGCATGTCGGCCTCACAGTGCAGAGGTGCAGGGTTGTTTGTCTATGTGTGCCCTGTGATGCTGGCAACCAGTTCAGGGTGTACCCCGCCTTCTACTCGAAGACAGCTGGGTTGGCTCCAGCATGCCCCGCGACCCTTGTGAGGATATGCGGATCAGAAAATGGATGGATGGATGGTTAGCACACTTCCCTCACAGTACACAGGTCCAGGGTTCGAACCCGGGCTCCGTCCTTCCTGTGTGGAATTTGCATGTTCTCCCTGTGCCTGTGTGGGTTTTCTCCAGGTACTCTGGTTTCCTCCCACATTCCAAAAACATGCTTGGTAGGTTAATGGAACACTCTAAATTGTCCCTAGGTGTGATTTGTGAGTGTGGATGGTTGTTCGTCTATGTGTTTCCTGCGATTGACTGGAAACCAGTCCAGGGTTTACCCCGCCTGCTGCCTGAAGTCAGCTCCCGCTAAAATAATGACATATGTGCAAAACATTTGCTCAAAAAATTGTGGTCATTATCAATCTTGGCTATGGGGAAAACAATATCAAGCCATGATCATCTGTATACTTAATATGATGCTTTTAAAACTGGATAGAAATAAACCTTGAGTGAAGATCTTTTCGAAAGTGATGAAATAATGTATTGTGTCTTTGTTTTGTGGGTCCTGACCTGTGGGGGTTCTTGTTTCTCTTGACAATCAACTTCTGATAAAGAAGCATGCATCAGATGACATTGTGTCATCTGCGGAGTGTTCCAGTGACGACGAAGACCTAGAGGAATGTGAAACTGGTCATCCAGGTGGGCTAGGTTAGTTTGCATTTGCTTGCTTTCTATGTGCGTTCATGCATCAGCACCAGTATGGATGATGGCAGTCTCAAAGCATCACAGCCCCCATGGTTAGACAAAGTGTAGCTGAATTTGAAAATAAAAAAACATTGAACTGGCTATTCAGAGCTGCATTTGTTATCTTGCAAGTCGTGTCGAGAAGAGCATAAGATCATTCCTGTCATGAACTACACTTGCACATGGGGTCATCCAGAGTGGTCAACATGGTCACATACACGCATACAAATTTCGCCGGCTGAGATCAAACAAAACAAAAAAAATGTGAGTGTGTACATCCAATATAAGTGAAATTTGTATCAAAGTGAACCATTATGAGCCAGTGATGCTGCCATTCATCGCTGCCCTTCTTTTTTAAACAATACACTTTATTGATTTGTTTTGAAGAATCCCATTATCTGTTGTGTTGTTTTTTTTTTTTTGTAATCACTTCATATGCATATTTAATTGTTCACCTGTCCATATTTATAGTAGTTGCTTGCAGTTTTTTTTTGCTTTAAAGAGAGAGAAAACAGAGAGAACAGATATCATTGAATTTCTGTGCATATATTTTTTTCATTTTTGGGTTTTGCTTCCAGACACACTTGTTATTCTGTCTTTTTGCATCTCAACACAAATAAACAGCTTTTTTTAAACAAATGAGTATATTTGAAAGAATTTGGGAATTTCCACATTGTATCAGTAATACTTTTACCCAAATTTAACACCACCAAAAAAAAAGTGTCAGTTAATGGTCAAGGTCATATTTTTTCTCTCTCTCTCTTGTCAGGCAAACAGTTGGCCATTCCCAATTTCTTTTAAAGAGTATGCAGGAGATGATCATGTGAATGACTTAAAAGATGTGCTGTGTATTCAGAAATTCATGGGGATTTGTGAAGAAAGACAAAGACAGGGCCCCTTGTCATCCACTCATGTTTCCACAGAAATTCATGCCATCCTAACCCTGACATTATTTTGCTGTTGAGAGTGGCATGCTCGATGGATTCGAAATATACTTTTTTTTTCCTTACCTTTTCTTTGCTCTGTCAGTATTATGACCCATTTTCTAAATTTGATGATTTAGCCAAAACCATCTGTTTGCGTGTACATATTTTAGTTTCATCATGTATGGCGTAACAGTCCATTGTTTTCATGGGTTTGCTTCAGCTTTTGTAGCACGCTGATGAAAATGTTCCTTCTTTCAATGCAAATGTTTATTATTCTTATTATTTTTAATACAAACATTAACCTTTCAAGCCAAAAGTTAATCCAATTGATGACGCTTTCATTTGAGTGAGAAAAAAAAAGAACGTCAAACTTGAAAATAAATTGCCCTTGCATTCGCATATTGTATGACAATTGACCACACATTTTGTACTTGACCATCACAGGTATGGAATAATATCTTGGAAAAATACAAACTTCCAAACCAATTTGTGATATGATGATTGGTACTATGGTTATGAAAGCTCTTCATTTTGCTCAGAATGAATTTTTCTCATCAATGTGCATGATCATTTTTTTTAACAATATCGTCACAATTGCTTTGTCTGCATTTGCGTTTTAGCTGAACAACATTTTTGCAGTCACAGCAACATCAAATGCAAACCCTGCATTATCTTTATTTTCGGTGTGCTTTTCTTTGGTTCTCAAGTTGTTTAGTGATACTGTTCTCTGTTATCCATTGGTTGTGTCCTTAATTGATCAATTTCATGAGATGGCAATTAGTAATCTTGGAAAGCTCTCAATAGTCTTTGTTTCAGTATCCAGTGAACATAAAACGCCAATGAGTAAAGGAACTCATTTCTGGCATAATACATAATGCAATCTGATTTTTTTTTTTCTGTATACAAGTACAAATACAATTTCTGGTCAATAAATTACACAAATTTCAAATGTAATCCACATAAAAACGTTAATCAAATGCTTTGCCTTTATATGAAACCAGCCATAAATGCTTTGTTGTGCCCCCCACGCTCCCCTGCACCACCCCTGACAGAAATGAACAATGTCTGAGTATTTGTCAGTTTTACTTTATTTTCCAAAATAACTTGTCAATATTGTTTCCAAAAAAGAGGCAAATAATAATTAAGTCTTTATAAAACACTAAGAATGGCACCAAATACATAAAAATAAATAATTAAAACAATAAAAATGACAATAAATGTCACTACTATTAACAGTGAAATATGCCGGTAGTTTTGAACCATTGTACAAACATTTTCTAAATTAATTATGTTTCAGTTTCACCAATAGATGTCGCTCTTGGCCTATGAACCTCTCGAAAATGTCGGCATCGTCGTTGTATATAAAACAACTTTGTCTCGTAACATTCCATTTAATTTTCAGAGCGTCATCAATGTGCAAGTCACAACTTTTCCACAACAGCGTTTTGGGTTGTTTTTAGGGAGCTTGCATAAAGCAATGAAAGTGAGGGGGCCTGGGGTGCACCAAAGGTAGTCCAACAAGAGGGCCATCCTGGAGATTCATCTTTTTCCGCGTAAATAAACCTACGTTATTTTAGTATTACATTGATTTATTAACATACTTTAGAAATATTTATTTTACATATTATATACTATTTTTACTATAATTCCTATTATTATGATTTTTTGACGAGCTTGTTTTTTTTTTTCCCCCCCCCCCCCCGCGCTGTTGTTAGTGCCCTACAAGCAGTGAGTGATCAGTGTGTGCCGAGCGCAGTACCTGTTTACAAACCTTTATTATAAATATTATATACTGTTTTTATTATAATTCCTACTATTATTATTTTTTACAAGCTTGAGTTTTTTTGGTGCCCCCATCCCCCCAGGCTGTTGGTGCCCTACACGCAGCGCGTAATCAGCGCATGTCGAGCGCCGTGCCTGTGTTAAAGTATCGGGCTGACCAGATAAATAATGGATTCATCGATTATTCGCTTGATTGTGTGGAACTGCCTGTTGATTGTTCGTTTCATAGCAAAAATTAGACGACATGGCCAAAACTATAGCTGAGGCACAGGTGATTGAGTTCTACAGAAGAACAGCTTGTCATCGACTAATAGAAGTTCTCGTTAACCTCCGCTCATTCAGCTGCCAAATTGAGAATGGGCAATTGAAACAGGAGTTCAGAACCGTCATGGAGATAGTCTAAAAGCAACGCAAGAGCTGCCATGGAAGAATTTGTTGAATGGCATTAATTTAACTTAAAACACACATCTCATGAAATAATACTCCCAAAGAGTTTAGATAAAACCAACCACGCACAAAACGCACAACACAAAAATGAGTGCTAGGACTGAGCAAAGGTTTTCATCATTGCCATCTCATGGAATTGTTCTCCCTTTCATTCCTACGGCTTTATATGCCATCCCAAAAAAAAAAAAAAAAAAGTTGGGTTGAATGCCTATGAATGTCATAGGACACAACATATGTTTGAAAAGTGTGTATCCATAAAGCCTTGAGTAGTGTTGACGTTGGCAATTCTTTCAAGTTGAGAAAAAATTGCTGTGGGACTCAACTGTTTGAAAATCAATGAAAGCCTTCACAATGAATTAATCATAGTTAGGCTGAGCTTTATGTCTGAGTCAACTTCTTAATCGTTTACACGCAACATTTACAGACTTAGATGACATCTCCTGCAGTCGCTACCACTCAGGCGACACGAGAATAGACATGAGGCACCGGCACGAGTGCTGAAATCAAAAGTGCTGTTCGATCAAATTGATGTGTTTTAAGTTCAGGCACGAGTAGAAACCTCCACCGGGAATTGTTTTGAAACAACGCAAATTGTGTTTTATGGATATGCACAATAAAGTTGTCATTTGACATTTATCGTACATGACATAATGTACTGTGCGGTGGAAATGGTCAACACACCCCTTTTTGTCATGATTCACCGTTTTAATGTTAAGTAGTCATAATATGCCCAATCTTAAATGTATTCATTTATGACCAGATTCAATCTTTTGATTTGGCGTCTGTCTTAATAACATGCAGTATGCATAATCGATAGTTGCTCACACTTCTCTATGCAAGCACTACAAATCTGATGACTAGATTCGAGTTAAAGGTGGATAAATTTGAAACTCAATGTGAAAAACACTTGTGCTAAAACGATGCTATTTTAAATAAGGACAAAATACATGCAAATAGTATTCGCAAAATATGTGCTCATAAGGGTTGTTTTTTTTTTTTTAATCGTACATTTGTAGAAAAAAAAATCCACAATCCTAACGCAACAACAAAGCAAATTAGCTAAATTTTTTCTGTCCAGAGTCAATGCCTCTTTTGCATAAAAATGATCAATCAAGGACGGCACAACACTCCTGAAAAATAAAATAAAATAAAAAACCTTGAGTGCAAGAACTCATTTTGTCTGGGGTTTTTTCCCCCCCACAAAAAAAAATCATCTCACTCAAAATGTTTATATTATTAGGGTACTATGTTTATCCTCCATATCATTGTAAATCTGCAAAAAATGATTAGGCCTACTCACGTTGCAGTATTGGGCAGTATAAGACCCAGTGTCAGAGCATCCAAGACATGCCTGCTATCCAGTGGTCATCGGTCACATTCCAACTTAAAACTACAGTCAATCCCTGCATATTTGCAGTTTGGCACCTCCAAATTCATATTTTTCAGATTTTTTTCTCCCCCCTCGCTTTTTCCCTCGTTTATGTTCTGAACTCCAGCTGATTTCATGATCAAATTATCAAGCATAGAATTTAAAAGGGGTGTATCACATTTCCTTATCCATTGTACGTTTAATGTCTGTATTTTTCTTTTCTTTTATTCTGTTCCCTACGGCTATGAGTTCAAATTGACCTGTATCCCAATCATACTGCCGTAAACAAATAGTCATTCTTCAAATCCTCACCAAAGTGTGGGGCGGGAGAATATTTTGAACATATCAACGACAAGTTTCTATAGTTTTGCGGTGTCAACAAAAGTTGACTCCGCCAACATTTTCCTTGTGAATCTCGCATTGTCACTGTCGTCTTTGCT